TCATATGAGACAGAACTATGTTTGATGTTGAACAGAAATCATCAAAATTTTTATTAGAAATTATGACACTTGTGTCATCATCAAATATTATGGGTTCTGTTAGAGTATTTATTGTTTTTATTTTTATTGTTGGAGGAAGGTCATTTATGTATATTATAAAAAGTAAGGGCCCTAAAATTGACCCTTGGGGAACTCCATGTTTTATTGTTCCCCAGTTTGAGAAAAAATGTTGTTTGTTTTTAGGTGCTTTTACTTTGACCATTTGTTTTCTATCTGTTAAATAGGATCTGAACCATTGCGCTGTTATTCCTTGAACACCATAAAAATGCAATTTATCCAACAAAATTTCATGATTTACACAGTCAAAAGCTTTTGCTAAATCACAGAAAATTCCTCCAACATGCATTTTTTGGTTAACAGATTTTAGCACATTGTCTGTTAGTTTGAAAGCTGCATCTTCAGTGGATACACCTTTCCTGAAGCCAAATTGTTCCAGGACTAATATGTTACTTGGACTTAACTTCTATAACTCCTCTAAAGTGAAAGATAGTTGATATACATAAATGTGGATTCTTCTACCCTGAAGATATAGGTGACAGGTTCCATTAAAACTACAAAACTCTATGGTGTCATACTTCAGAAGAACAAAATCAGGTTGAGAATGAGTAGGAGCTATACCACCTCTCCCCCCAAGTGCCTACATGGCATATTATGGGACAGCTTTATGTTACTTATATATCTGTGAAATTTCTGAATAAAATCTGAGGTAGAGTGAAAAGGGTCAGAAAATGACAAAACAAGTCGAACACACAAAATTTGATACTGTTTAGGTGGGAAAAACTATTCTTAAACTATCTATTACTGGATTGCAAGAGCATGAGCAGAAGATATACTGAAAAGGAAAAATAAGTAACGGATCCTTAAGTCACATAAGCAGTTACCATGTGCAAACAGGAATCCTGATCATCACTTCCTCCCCACCAACTTTCTATGTCAAATTTAAAATACCTGAAGCTCTCTCACTCACCTGTGCTATCAAGAGAGAGTGTGGACCCATGTCTGCTGGGAGGTTTGCTGCCTTGACGGCTCTGAGGTCGGCTACTGGGGCGACTGTTGGGACGACTGCCCGCTTTGCTGCCTGGCTGGCTTCCTCCTACACATATACACACACATTTATAGTGTATGTACAAAAGGCAACTGTAACAAGCTTAACTCTGAATATGTCTAAAACCTGGAAATCAGAATATTTAAGATTTAAGATTTTCACAGTGGTGAGTATGAAGATTTCTGTCTTCTGGGTTGCTGCACTGTGTAGTATGGTCGATGAATCACCCTGATGATGGAGGCAGTATGATCTCTGAAACGTTGGTAAACATCGACCATACTACACAGTACAACAACCCAGAAGACAGAAATCTTCAGAATATTTAACCTTCACCTCATTACCTGAATTAAGTTTTGAATGATGAGATGCCACACTGAATTGTCTCTAAACAAAAAACAGAGTGCTAAGGAATACTTAGTCTTTGAGGAAATGATGTGCCTGCTTCAGGGTTACTTGAACTAACCTGGAGTGAGGGTAGAACGAGGAGGCGCTGATCCTTTCCTTATTGGTCGGGTCAGTGTGCTCTCATTATCACTGAGAGAGTCTGGAGTACGATGTCCACCAGAGAATGATGATCGTCCAGTGTTACGTCCCATGGGAACACTGCGTGCACTGCGCTCACGCACCTACAGCCCCACATAAACATATAGCTACAGATATTAATAAAGTTATTTCTGTGATAAGTGATCATGCAGTCTTTTCTTTGGATATTATGAATATATCCTTGGTGTTAACATGGCTGTATAAAAAAAATTACAACAATGTGATACAAGATCATATTTATAAATAGAAAAACTAATACAGAGATTAGAAAATGGCAACTATGATATAAGGTAAGCTTTAACCAGCAATTGGTATATAACAGCAAAACCAAAGTAATTAATTAATTTCCAGAAAGAAAAGAAAATCAGTACCATTCACTTGCTTTTATTTATGAAAGGTATAATGGTATCCAATGAAGTAATAATAATCCGTGGCGTAACAGCCCTCTGAGAGCCAAAGCCGACTAGCTGGCTGCTGGCCTCACGTTCACATGCCTAAGCAGAGGTGAATGATCGTCCAACCAGATATAGGATGACATGTGGTCAGCACGACGAACCCCCAGCCATTGCTAGTTTTCCTGACTGGATTAAGCTACCCATTGTAGCTTCCCAATTTCCTCACGATGCTGGGCTGGCACCGGTCGAAAGATCTCGTGAGAAATTTCTTTCCCCGAGACTCGAACCAGCGTGCATTCTGTATCACCGGTCTGAAGCATGATGCCTCAGACGGCATGGCTACGGCGCGGGACCCAATGAACTAATACCAGTGTAATATATACATCACATAAAGGAAAATGTCAATATATAAATAAATAACATCATGTTACTTAATTTATACAGTTTACCAATAAATACTGCAACTTTCATGTGCATTGTCTCTAAACCTACCAGCCATGTTTTCACACCCATGTAAAATAAAGACTACTTCTTGGATAACTGAAGTTTTTTGACACAACAAATGTTTAAACAAGTATATAATTTATAATAAAAAAGTTTGTTACTTGTAATGTATTTTCTAAATATTAAAATTTATCTTCAATATCAAGAAATACGGACTGGCTTTTAAAGATAATTCAGATGCATATTCCTGGATATAAATGTGGCTGCCATTTTTTATCAACTGTTTCTAAATAATAGCCATAAATTATTTTAAACAGCCATGATTATAATTTTAGAAAACAACATGCATTTCTGCGTATTAAAGATAAAAGTAATTTCCAGTCTGGAGTTTAATTTTTATTATATTATAATTTCCATTTAATATGCACATTCAGATTCACATATAGCAACTTCACAGTAGCACAAATAAGCAAAAATCATATATAACACCAACAATTAACTTAAACACAGGGACTCCCTTAATGTGAAATTATCAACAAGGCTGCTCAAAAATTGCTGTAATAATAAATGGTAAATTAAAGCATGCATATAAAACAAAGTATCATTATCTGTTCAATACTTCAAACATTTACTTAACCAAGAAATTATAAAGTCTGCTGAGATACACTGTATAAGGACCAATGTTTTATGTGATGGTAAATGTGTGTTACTTGAGAGGTTAGTTAAAGAGGCTCCTAAAACAACAGTGGTTTTTAAGTACTTCTCAAAATGATACTGAGGTCCTGCAACTAATATTAACCCTCTCCATATTCAGACATACTATGCTTCAAGAATTCACCATAAAAAAACGTTTACATTATTTGAAGTCTATCAATTGCAGAAATGGTGCCCACTATATAAACAGAATTTTTTTTAATATATCACAGAATCCATCAACACACAAAGAAACTAATCAACTCTCTAACAGATACCAGTACACGACAGGAATGCAACTTAACTCTTTCAAGGAATATGACTTGGAGCAACAATTTATACATGATGTGTCAAACCAAGAAGAAATTAGTTAACTCTCTCACAAATGTCACTAAATTACAAAGGAAATTCAAACACTTTCAAGTATTAGAGTCAGAAATTTCAATTTACACACAATATATCAAAGCATGAACAAGTTGGTTAAAACTCCAACAGATGAAGTCAATAAATGACGAGCAAAAAGTGAATGCTTTTAATTGCCATGCGAAGGAACAATAATTTACGAAGCATTTTGAGGGTACAGGCTGACAAATGTGACAAACAGTTCTGGTATTACAAGCTGCTGCAACACACAGTTCATATATGAGAATATTCTACAACCACTAATGCTTTCAGGATCTGAAATGTTAACAGAAAACTAGTCTACTGTTAGTCATTTTAGAACTCACCCAATGGAATCTTGGCAACAACTGATGCTCATCTCCTATTGCGATTACCGCAACTAATTCACCAATAAGCAAAAGGGGAAAATAATTAACCATTAATGCAGATGTAAATAACTCACTGTATGTACCTGTAAATACTTACCTAATAAAAATCAAATTATGGGCAGTTCACCCACGTAAAGGAAACATAAATTTAACATAACAAAGTAGAGAAAATAAATTCAGTACTGAAATAAAAATGAACAACTAATATAGAAATTAAAATACACAGCAAGCATAATCTGAAGGCGAGCACGTAGGTTTATATACAGACAGTTCTGCCAACTGTGTCTTATAAGAACAGGAAGAAACCCTGGAAAAGATACTTGGATCTCCTACTCAGTCATGAAGAGTTCAGACCACTGTACCAACTTGTAACCCAAGACATTACAATGGAAGGAGCAAGATAGGGAACTTCTCTAAACAACCAAAGCTGGACAACTTCAAACCACACACAAGTTCAAATCTGCAACAAGACAAATACTGCCACACAACTAGCATCTTAGCATCGTGGGAAATGAACATACAGAGTCAGTTTGAACTCTGTACAATCCTACATAATGGTTCATATCTGTGACTGTACAACAATTAATCCTTTTAGAAATAATATTTCCTAAGAAAAGATTCCCAAAACATCGAAGTTTTATTCCCTACCAAACATGTCTGATCATTCCAGAAGACTGCACTGCAAACACAATGTCTCATAACTTCCTCAAGTCTCACAATTCTGTTAGAGTTTATTTTATTCTTTGTGTTCCTTAAAATGAGCATTTCCTGCTTCAGAAAGAATCTATAGGTCTAAGCCAAAGGAAAGACTTTAATATAGGTATGAATCAATGAACGGGAAAAAGATTATTTTCTACACTGAATAAAAGAAACAAACTTTCAACACTATTCCAAAACATGAAAATTTACTAGCACTATTTGGGCCAGCCAATTAATTACATTAGAGGAAATTCAAGCTCTAGAAATTTAAAATACAAGTAAATATGTGTTTCAAAGCGTCTTCCCATCTTCAAAAAGGATTCTTTTTAATATATTAAGAAGATGACAATATCAAACAAATCAAAATGCACTATGATACAGGCTATAAATAAAAGCTAAACTAATTTTCCATGATGCTGAAGAGTGTTAGGCACACAACACAGTGTGTTGCAGTAATGACAGTAGCAGTGTTTATTTACCCAGTGATATGAGGGGAACCCAGATGCCCCCATGGCGAGTGGGTATGAGCAGGGCAGGTCCTCTCGTTGCCTCAGGCTTTCAATTATCGGCATCAGTTGAGTCATAAACTCCTTGGCTGGAAAAGTCCGTACCCACACTCCAAAATTTGACTAAATATTACAACCCTCAAACCCATCAACCATCTCTAGAAAACTCTGACCTAACAACATCAGTCCTTATTATGTAGTACAATGATATTATTAACACAGTGGACACAATATAAATAAATGAGGCCAGAAGCTAATAAATAAGTCCTTTCAACCAAACAGTGTCATCCTGCAGTACATCTAATAAACATTATCTAACTTACAAGTAATGAAATATAACTTACAAAGTACTGTACTTAATTAGCTTGTTCTATTTAATACAGAAATCAGTGTTACAGAAAACAACAGTGGCTTTATGTCGCATCTCCTGAGGTATTTTGTTTTGAATCCATGCAAACTGAAAAAGGTACTGTAACATTATACCATACCTTCCATTACGCCACAAGAAGCAGTCCATCCAGTAGTACCAACATCAAAAGCTCATGCATCATGTACATACATAACAACTACTGACCTTTGCAAAGAGTGCCAATGTCCATTAGAAATGCCCATTTCACTCGTAACACTCCAAACAAATCAAGTATCATAATGCCCATAAATAAGTATGATAATTACACAAACTGTAAGCATATATCTGTTCTTGTGTTTTGTAACCTGAAAATCAAATTTTCCTTAAAAGGGCAATTATTTAAGCGAACACAAAGATAACAGTCAACCACTTCATAAACTATAAGCAAATAATTTCAAAAGACTGGAAAATCATAAGAATAAATTAGCAATTTTTTTCAAATTAAGTAATGATAAAATGATTATACAAAAAAGAGAAAAAAAAAGAAAGGAAGAATTCCATATTGACATGAGCATATTTTTAAAACCTGCCCACATGCTTAAATCTGGAGTGCTGCAATCAGTGTAAATGGCATCCCTCGTATACAATTTCTGTGACTTCCAGCAAACTTGAGTAACGTGGTAACCAAGTTTGATGGAACAAGAAAGAAATTAAAATATAAAAAGGAAAGAAAAGGACAGACAAGATGTGTTTCTGTGGAAGAATGAAAACAAAGTATAATGAAGAAATCCACAATGATACTGTCCACACATGGGCCTTCAATAAAACATATCCTTCCACATTTCAAGATGATAAATAAAAGATGAATGGTACTTATTAAAATAGAACTGTGCAGCGGAAAAAATGATCACGTGTATAATTCCACTTTCTCACTGGTCTGAAATAATCAGTGCTGGTGCTGAATTGGAATAATTCCTACTGGTCTACTTAAGCACCAAGCAGAAAATTGCAGATGCATCTACATACAATACATTGAGGAACAAGGATTTTGGACCAAGGACATGCCAGACAAACCTTGGTAATGGGTCCAGCCAGAGACTGGGAACGTTGTGATCCTGTTGAACTGCCACCCGGACTGGCCCTGGGTTTGAACGCAGTCATACTCTGTGACACGCCCTCTGCCAGGATGAACTGTTCACGCAGCTCGATGTTTGTGCGGCCCTTGGCTGCCATTCAGTGTGAAAGAACCGAATGCGAAGTATGTCATGTGAAGGGATTTGAAGGGTGAAAGGGAGCAGAGATGGAGTTGAGGATTGATGCCATGTCATTATAATACCATGGATGTAGGAAGAAGAGGCAAGAGAGAAAAAAGGAGGACAAAAGAAACAATACAATAAGCAAACCAAGAAAAACAATGCTGATGCACAAATTCATTATATACAATTCACAAAAGCAGTAAACTGTAATCATAAGAAGCATATTTAAAGAGCCTGAGGTCACAGAACCATGGTGCTAATTCTTCATAAAAAGAATAAACACCTCTTCCCTTAACCTACAGTCTCTACACTCACAAAACTAAACTATGCACCAAAACACCATAAAGAAAACAACACCATGCTTACATAAGCTAGTAGTGATATCCAACAAGTGCATTCATTGCAAGAAAGTCATTATTTCCGGTCTGAAACATTACACTTGGCAATATGAACCTAACTGGGCCAACACAGAGCATACAAGAATTTACAAATACTGCTAAATCATGGGATTCCCAATCTCTATCAAGTGGCAATTTTCTTCATCTTTTGTTTCTTGTTTTGGCAGGGGATACTCTTTCATTTGAATGCTGCACATCAACTATAAAGTTTCTCAAGAAAAGATAAAATTAGTATGCTAGTTATTCAATGACATGTTAATAAATGAATAAAAAAGTAAGACAAATTATCCTAATGTTTTTGCCGTCATATAAATTCAATGGCATGAAATTGCATTCACTCTCATGCACCAAATAGCATAAAACTATAAAATTACTTTCATCATTTTCAATTACATTAAATATATATGAATGATGTGAGGGGCATTCAAATTTTGCATTAATGCTGGATTAACATAAACATTAAATACCACAAACACAATTCCAGCCAGAGATTTTATTTGGAATGAATGCACTTAAAATTATACAATTATATGGTGGAGTGGACTAAACAAAACTTAAAGCTCAGTTTATGCAAAACCAATGAAGTAAAACAATATTAACCTGAAATAACTTGAACCAAAACTTGGTTATATTTATAACTAGTGGTTCATCCTCTGTCACAAGGGATAAGTTTTTGCCATAGAAGTCAGTCCACTTAAAAGCAATAGAAGCACAGCTTCCTTACCAGATCTTTCTGCATTTAGCTGTTATACTATCAATATCTTCAATCAAAAGTCACTTGACATTTGCTGACTTAACAGCCTAGATTGTACTAGAAATGTTATGGTGTTAAATGTGGAATATAATTTTGATACACATTAATGATTTCAGTTCATAAGCTTTGCTCAGCACTTTGGAGGCGTCAAAATGCTTACACAATTATGTGATTCTGGTCGAATGTACTATTACACTGTATCTTTAAGTCAGTTGTTAATTTCAGGCTTCTTGCAAGTTTGTGGATGGTACAACTACAATGTATTTTATCAGTCAACAGGCAACTCAATCATATTCTTGGTATTGCTTGGTCCCCAAAGTATTTAATAATACAGTGCTCATATTATAGGTATGATGATGAAACAAGTTGTGGAAGATAGTTTAGTCAAATACCTACTTCTAGACAATTAATGAAGACATAAATGAACCAGTTCTACAATGATAATAATATGAAATACGATTCATTCCCCAGTAATGAAAGAAGAAATTACCATGGCACATTAGGCCTATATACTTCACTAAAAGAGGTTTTATTGGGTTCTATTAATGCTGGTGGTACTGACAATTAAAAATAACCTATCATCTGAGACAGAGAACAAATGGCAGAAAACTGATTTGCACCATGCTGATACATAAGAAGATGCAAACTGAAAACTTCACACATCAAGACATGCATCAAAGATATATTGTTCTTACATGACAAGGCCACGTAGCCCAAAGGACACCATGCCTCATGTTGCTCTGGCTTATTTGGGTCCGGGATTGGAAGTAAAACAACTTAAGTGCCCAAACCAAAATAATACAGTATGAAGAAAAAATGCAAAATCATAAATTGAGGGATTACAAGAACCGGATCCAATGAATATGAGTAACAAAGATGTACAGAAAATGTGTAAGAAAGGTGGATGGGAAAATGGATTAAAGTATTTTCATGAGTTTGGTTAAAGCAGCAAACAGGAGGAAAGAAATGAGAGAAAAACACTGTTAATGGCCCTATTTTCTAAAATGCTATGTGCCAGTATAAAGTAATCATCAACTACTCTACAATATTTGTCTACCTCTGATTTAGAAGCATGGAAAGTATCAAAAACGTGTAACACTTTATGTCCACAACTGTAGTTAAGGTTTGGAACTTACTATTATAAAGCAAAATTAGTCCTCTCTTAAGTATAACAACTGCCCATATGCTTACATGCTATGCACAATTTTTTCAATTACAGAGCAGAGACGTGCTGTGGATGGTCCACAAATTAACTCCATGAAGAAGCATAATTCTTGAGAAGCTGATAGTAACAGCCAGTCAAGAAATTCCCCCTCTTCTATGTAACCCAAAAATGTTTATAAGAACCCAACACTGGACCAAAGGCTCTATCCAAATCAGAGGCCCTGTGTAACATTTAATAACAAAATACATTTGTGAAGAATAGTCAGCCACAAGCCAAATTTCCAAACTGAAGGATAGTCTTTCTGTCAGCTACCCACCCCACAACTACCCTCCATATCTGGAGATTATCTCCTCCCTCAGTAAACTGAGGACATGACGTGCCATGCCATAGTTACAAGGCACCCACTAAAGGGAATGGTACACTGTAGTTAGTTAAATTATCTCTGATTACATATTATAAAAGTCAAACTACCACAAGAACAGCACAAGGTAAGAAAAGATACAAGTCTGCCCAAAGTATTCCATGAAATTTTATACAAATGATTGTTGAATAATGCATCCACTTCTGGAATAACAAATAAACAGGACGATGAATAGAAACCAGGACTTGTGGATAATCTTAAAACTTTGCATACTGTGTAGTGCATTAGAATATAAATAGGCAAACAAACAACTATTAACACTATAAAAAAGACACTATTGCCATACGCGGTACAACATCAAGAGGTCATCATCAGTGGCATCAGGGAAATCAATTCATTTAATTAAATGGCTCAAACTTGATTTAGAAAATAAATAATGAATAGGACATTTGACAAAAAGTATTTTAAGCCTATTTATATTCAGGATTTGTGGAGTCTGAATAAAAATATCACTTGGAAATCTGCCCTACCATTCCCAGGGCTATACACATCTTGGTAAAGCACTAAATTTTAAATTCTCATAAAGAAAACAATGTCTCAATAACTACTGACAATCTACGGTGAGATGCTTACTAATGGGCTGAACAGATGCCATAATTTCAGTTATCTCTGTTTCATAACTTCAACAATAATAATCAGTTATGATATTAATATATATAAGCAACACGCAACTATGTTTCAGCATTGCTCTATACTGCGTCTTACCAAACGTCGTGGTAAAGTGGTTAACATTCTGCTTTGTACTTGGGAGGTCCCAGATTCAAATCTCGGCCTGGAGACCGGCTATCCTGACCAGGTTTTTTGTGTGGTTTTACTCAGTCCCTCCAGGCAAATGCCAGGATAGTACAGTAAATTAGACCATTGCCACTTCCTTCCAATTCATTATTTACTACCATCCTCTCATTCGACACTGTATAGTCTGAGATACTAAAAAAAATGCCAGAATAAACTATAAAATAAATAAATATAACGCATCTCATACAGACAACAATGTTGTGTTGGTGTGATACCCTCACATAGTACATAAATAATGTGTTTCACATTTAACTTCATCACTGAATTGCAAAGTCATGACCATAATAAGTATCATTTAGGGCTTTTCTTTTAATGTCAAGCACAGCTACAAGTCTCAGTCTATTCATTTCCATGCTTCTCCACCAGACATCAAGCTGAAAGTATTTTTCACCACCAAACAGGAGGGGAAAAACCAAAGCCACAAGCTCAAGATTTTTAATATGTTACCTCAGGAGTTGTACGTCAGTTGGGTATATACTGCGGATTTAGTTTAGAAACTGTTAGAAGTAAGATGTTTTATATGTATGATTATGGCATAATTTCTTCACACACCTACAATAACCTCTAGACACTGTGTATGATGGTCTCATATATTTAGCACAAAAATCCTTACTTCCCATATTAATTACTGCAACCACTGTACCAATGTAAAAAAGATATATTCAGAACTCATTATGTTTAAATTAAGTTCTTACTGCAAACACTCAACAACCATCCTCTGAACCAAACTAAACTGTAATAATAATTTAACTAAACTCAAACACAAAATTAATGTAAACATTAAAAATTATAAAGCATAAAAACAAACTTAAATTATTATTTACCAATAACATAATGCTACCAGGAGAGAAAAAGTAGAGAACACACACAGCAAATTAATATACACTTCACTGCCTGTTTCAAACACTGAAAATATTTTCAAAAAGAGTATTCTTAATCTTAGAAACTGCATTTCAATAGCCAGAGAAAAGCACATTTATACTATCTTGAATACTGTAGATACTATTATTTTTGGATCAGAAAATTAGAAAATCATGTATTCGTGTACAACACGCTTTGAAATATATAAAATAACGGTAATGGGGGGGAAGTCATACGAGGTGTCTGAATATTAGGTAGGCAAATTTGGCATTCATTGTTGTAGGAAGTATTTTGTAATGAAACTGATTTAGGCCAGAAGCTTGCACCACCACCCACCTCCCATAATTCATCACTCACTCTGTGTTACTGATTGTCAACTTGAGATAATGAAAATCTAAACTCTTAACAAAAGCACCAACTTAAAATAATTTATTTGGATGGTAATGCTCTTCATAGTCTGTGAAGGATAATCGAAAATTAAGATGTGAACTTATTCTATGCATTTACTTTTCACTGGATTACACTCAGTGCTTCATTATATTAGGTTGGTTATTCAATTTGGGTTTTAATGTGCACAGTTACAGTGTGTAACACTGACCATGTAAAAAGTAAAGTAAAGTTTGTCCCACTACGTGCCATATAGGCGCTTGGGGTGAGTGGAGGTATAGCTCCTCTCTTTCTTGACTTCAGCACTAGATGGGGTGAGTGGTCAGCATCACGCCCCGGCCGGCTTTCCCCCTGGGAAAGGACCCCGGTACCCATTGTAGAGGAGGCTGGGTGGGCCCCAGAGCCGGTCTGGACGCAGAGGCTAGAGGAAAAATCCTCTGCCCCCGTCGGGGATCGAACCCCGGCCGTCCAGCCCGTAGCTAGTCACTATTCTGACTGAGCTATCGCGGCTCATAACACTGACCACGTACTCATTAAAATTGGGCTTTAAGAACACTGTGATCGCAAATCCGCCCCCTGATCAGACAGATGAACCTCATCACAATTTGTATTATGTAGTTGTAAAATTCATAACCTAGACACACTCACTCATATTTTAAAGCAGTCAGATGATGGTATGACTGTTGGTGATTTTTCTTTGACAGCAACAGAAAACATTCGTAATTATAAATCCTTAACACACAATTAATTCTACTGTGTGCAAGAAAAGAAAAGAAAAACTTCCTTGCTCCTTTAAATATGTGTTTCACGTATTACACGCACAATAATTTTAAGAATAAATAATTAAAATACTGCGTGTTATACACGAATAAATACAGTAGATGCTACCAGATGATGAAGCTGATGCTAATGTTGTTCATACAATGCTGCAATTTAAACATATTATTCTTGTCTTGAATTTCCGAACAATTACATCTCGCTTATTGCAGATTATAAATAAAACAAAAATAAAGTGTTCACTGCACAACACACATATAAGATATAGATAAATTTCATAAAACTAAGACAAGATATAATATGTTAAAAGTTAGAAGTGCAAAGTACTAAGGAATTTCACATAGAAATTACTATGAAAGAATGAATAATGCAATTTTTATGCAGTAATTATATTTCATCTGTTAAGTTATCAACATTGACCGACAATCTTCAACCACATTTAAATGTAGTAATGTGATGTTTCAATAAATACTAAACCTGCAATTAACATACTGATGACCAAAGGATGTTCCACAAACCAAATATATGTATTTGTGCTAGTAACGGCAAAACATTTAACCAAATATATGTATTTGTGCTAGTAATTGCAAAACATTCCTACAACAACATTTAAAAAAGGCATGGACAACTGCATATAAAAACTTTGTAAAATTTCTCTGTATGCCGCTCTCTTATACACTAAATAGTTTAATCAACCTCAACAGATGTCAGCATAATAAAATATTATTTTACAAACGCAGCACATTTTAATTACCTACTTTAACTCTGTATCATCATGCCAATCAACAACTCAAAATTGAAGACAATTGAGATGAAACTTTTGTATGACAGTACAACAACACTGTACCATAAAACTGGGCTGAGACCATTGCACATCAACAATGTGCATAAATATGACATATAATCATTATTATTAGACAAGGACAGCATATAAGTGGTCATCAATATGTTAAATTGTATCAGCTATTTATAAAAAGAAAAGTTTTTGGCTGTGCCTGGACAACATGCAGTATCACACAGGCTTTTAAAAATCGCACATTTCACAATGGCTTCATGAGAAAATTTTAATTTCCAAACCTGATTTTCCAGAAGGAATATAACAACCACAATATAAAACAAAATAAAACCTTACAGTTTTACAAACAAGTAAACGTACACTGTTACTTTTTATTTCACGGTACTGAGAGAGAAGCACTGACCAATGCCTTGCATTCTGGCCAGTGCATTTGCACCTATACCAACAATAATAGCCAAACCAGGCTGTTGTGGTTGACAGGTCAACTCCCCAATTTGATTCAGACTGAAGTTTTCTGTGGTTTTCCTTAGGCAATAAATTTCTTTCCTCCCAAATTCATTATTCACACAATCATCCTTTCAATGGATGTTATATATCACAGACAACTGACAAAGTGTCATTAATTAAACTATCACACAAAACCAATGTGAAATTGTGTTCGAGACTTTAACCAAGATGTACATGATGGCATCAAACATAAGCATTGAGGATACAGATGAATGCTTACCTCGACACGGATCATTCTTCACCAGGAACTCGTCCAGAGCCACCCAACCACCACCAACTCGCACCATCACAGTTGAGCGAAGGATACGCACCAAACGCAGTTTCTGACTGTCACCAAACTGTGACACACAAAATATATAACCAATCAATACACAATGGAAATAAAATTATAGTTACCAATACATACCAATTATCAATTACATTCAAGTGTTCTTTACATTTCAGCATCCAAGAAGAACGCCTTATATTATTTGTCCATAAGCCCATCCTTGAGCCATGGCTGTGCTGCTGTCAATCAGTGGCCTCAATGACCTACACTTTCTGCAAACTATGTAACTTGAGACTGGCTAAATGGATTTTCATGAAATTGGGTGTAGAGACTATGCCACTAGTAAAATCAGAAATACCAAAATCACAGATGCTCAAATTCATGAGGTGGGATGATAATCCTCCAAGACGGTAATTATCCATGATCGACTGTGATTACTGATGACATCATCACCCATAAGCATATAATCAGAGAATAGCTGGAGAGACCTTCATGAAATTTGATATGGATATCGTGCCACTGGAGGCTATTTACTTTTTATTTCCTATAATAAGTCACATCAACATGACAGATGATAAAATTTGTGAGACCAGAAGATGATCCTCTATAGTTGATGATGTCATCACCCATGCTGCTACCCAAGAGTGATCATACAAACTATCCGTGCTGCCACCTATGAGGGTATACACATGAACTACTTGTTATCACAACCAATGAATGTGGCAAAATGAACATCTCTGAATTTATATTCTGTGGACTAAAATATTCCCAATCTTGTTTTTTTACTCACCCTGTACTTTCCTTCTCCAACCTGGAAGACACGGAACTTTTGACGGCAAGTACACAGCATCACCAATCGCTTCACTTCATCATGGATCTTATCTGCCTCAGTTTCTGGTTTCCGTTCCTCCCAGTCTGGCCTTAGAGCAGCAATGAATTCCTTCCAGTCGATCAGACCTTCTCCCGACCGGTCAAACAGGTCTGCTACTGCATTCATTTCTAACCTACTAGTGTCAAATTCTAACAGAAAAGACAGATACAAGAAATGATCAATAATTTACGAAAAACAGCTTAAATGTTTAAACATCTGATACCAAATATTGAAAACATTAATAAATTTCTGTTTTAATGAAAGATAAGTTATAAGCCTATGTTGTCCACATTATCCACTTCTCACTGCAGAAGCCAGCTAATATTATATTATGCAAATCCTAAGAAGCAAACTCCTTTTCTTACTGGTTTTCATAATTCCATCGATGAAGTCCTCTCTGGGAATGAGACCATCATTGTTTTTGTCCATTTTTCGGAAGAGGTCAGTCAAACGTGATTTCTTGTGGTTCATGAACTTCAAGAACTGTGAAAAAAATAGGCACTCTTGTATCAATTCATAAATATTATGGGTTTTACTTATTCCATTATTTAAACATCTTTGAACAGTCTCCTTAAAAGCATAATAATATCACATAATGAAACTATAATACACAAAACAAACACAACACAAAATTATATTTCATGTTTGAACACACAATTATTGTCAATAATGATTGATGGTTTTGTTTTTTAACGTAACTGCAGCAACTGTTCAGAACTGATAAAAACAATACCAGTCTGTCCTGCTATATAGGTTATGCCTACCACCTTCTTATTTGCAATGTATTTATTTACAATAAAGGGTCTTCCTTGAAATTCTGATAATCAACTCAGCTGGACAAGAAATTCACTGCTTTTATGGAATTCACTGGTTCATTACCACGTTCATAAGAGTCTGTCATTTGTCCTATCAATCCACTCAGTCAGTTCCTACCTACATCTCAATGACCCATTTAGATATTAATCTACCCCTACGATTCCCTGCTCAAAATGGAAAATATTCCCCATTTTTCCCAGCATCCTGTGTTTTCATTCAGCTCGTCCTCAATGTTATTAGCCTATCAAAATTAGTGTCAGTGAATTCATGCACCTTTAAATAATCAGCATACTTACACGCTTCCTCCAGTCATCCCAACTAAAGTTTTTAACTTTCTCCAGTTCCAGCAAATATGAATACTTCTCTTGCAAACGGCGCTGCCGCTCCCATGCCAGCATCCATACATTGCGCCATCTGTCCCAAAGTAGTTTCACCCGTGGGTTTCGGAACACAGGCTCTGCACCCTTGCTACTCAAGTACAAAAGTAGTAGTTACCACACCACATAATATAGAAGTGTAATGGAAAAATAATATTTAATATTTTGGTTTGTTTTTACATGTTTGTTCTAGTAAATCAAACTAAATAATTAATATCAGGCACATATTTACATGTGTGTGCCACATTTAGTTTACCAAGTGATAATATCTGACATTCATATTCAAAGACTGTAATATATTTAAATTGGTGCACTATACATACTCAATTAATTACCAACAATAACTCTGAAAAGGGTATACAGTTGTTTCTTCTATAATGTAATAGTTGTGTTCCTGGTAAGCACCATGTTACGGAAAAAAAATCACATTATAGAAACCGTTGGTTCAAATGGAAGTCAGGGGGAGACAGTTTGGATTCAACATCATGAATGTAATTTTTCAAAAGTAGTTAGTAGTTATTAATAATATGAATGTATTACTTTTGCATAATAAGTTTCCATACCTGCATTTATAGAAGATGAGTTCATTTATTTTGCTGACTGAAGTACTGGAAGCAGATTACATTAACTTTCCCTTGTCCTTTTTTATTAACCCAAACTTCCTGACAAGTCTACGTGATATAATAACCCAGAACAGCATCAAGTTACAAACATATAAATAATTTTCCTTCACTAAACCATTAGCTAACTCAAAGCACAGTAAACTTCTGTTGGACACCTAATATCAATAACCAGACTGCCATTTTCGTTTGTAAAAAAGGTATAGAATAGAGAAGACAATATTACCTTAAATCCAGTTCATATTAACCTCACCACCACAACAGACACATACTTAAAATCACAATAATGAAGAAACAATATTATTGAATTTCAAGGTCAATACCATTAGCCATGAATATGAGCATAGCATCAAGTCTCAAACATTATATCACATAAAGGTTAATTGAAGATCTGACCATTCCTATATATCAACAAAATATGTCTGATGCTAAGACAAGAATATACAACCCACTACTTGTATGCTGTAACAAGATACCATTCAGACTCATGCACAAATCTGTTCCAAAATGAGAAAACTCATTGATTTTCATGAGCAAAAATAATGAGTATTTAGCAGCCTCTTTGTTACCAACTTCTTTGACACCATGTGATCACTTTCACAGATTTTATAAACAATATACTCAGTTACTATTTTTAAGTGTTTCTGTTAGAAAACACATGCTCACCAAAAAAGAGAAAGATAGATAGATTTAGTACTCCCAGTAACACATAAAAATACATTATTCTGAATAAAGGAATATACATGGAACACATTTTGCTTTTCCTATAAATCAGTGACAAAGAGCCTACTGTACTAAGCAGGTTTGAAGGTTATAAGTTTGCATTAGTCACTTGACGACAAAGACAAATTTTGGTTATGTTACAAACCATTACATACAAAACTGGTTTCAATAAGAACATATGATGCAACTGTTCATATAAACTATGAAACAGCTTTATAATAAATTAATATGTTCTAACCTTCCTTTAGCTGCAAATCTGGGCCCAATGTGAGGTACCAATTCCGGTGCTTTCTCACGCCCTGGGCTCGTGCGACTACACAGCAGCAAATAAAACAACAAACAGAAAAAACACTACTGTTAGGTAACATGCACACAGGCACACACCCACATAAATGGGATTAATACTACCAAACTACATTTAGCTTGAAATGAAGGGTTAAAACCCTTTAAATATTTGTCTATATAACTGGTAACAATGAATCTGTTTGGCTACAAGTACCTGTAGACTTGAAAAAATGATGCCTTCAGCAGCAGTCTTAGTTAAACATCTAAACATTCATAAAGTCTCAAGTTCTGAACCCCATACAGCTTTAAAAGGTTTGGAAAAACATGGTATACAGACAAGTCAGTCTACAGACACACTACTTGCAAATGCTCTCATCTCACTTCACTTCAAGCTCATAATACGAATCCATCAAAACTACAGCTACCAATGACAACTACAGCACATGACACAGCATTATTTGTGCTGTAACTGCCAGGGAAATCCTACAGTATAAAGCTTTAACAATACAAATCACAAGATGATTAAAACAATGAACAGGGGTTACAATCACTATATTCACTGCAATGCATTCTGAAGGATTTATCTTATATAAGTGCTAGCAAATTTTGTTTCTAAGAATTCATACAGATTTAAATCTGACAATTCAGTGAAATATCCACCATATCTCTACACAGCTGCAGAATATCATTCTGTGAGAAAAGTAATGTAGATATTGGCCATCTCTGATAAGGCTCAAATGAAGAAAAATCACTTGACTTTCAAATAGTCAAAGAGAAGTTCAATGTGGAAAAGTGAAGTATGTTAAATCTATGAATCTTCTTCTTTAATCCACAAGTTTTGTAGGTGAAATGGGACTTTCTTTACATGGGCTGTTCAATAAACACTAAGAATGATTTTAAAAATAAAAACTTACTTCCTTTATTCTAAACCTTTACAAATGCATTCCTTTCCAAAATAGGCTCCCTTACTAAATACACTTATCCCAGCATGTTTGCCACTCATCAAAGACATGGTTGAAGCCATTTTTGGACATCTTTAAAATTGCTTCCTCAGCTTTGAATGTAACATCTTTGGTCTGGAAGCTCTGTCCTAGAAGCTGCCTTGTAAGTGTAGGGAGAGGAGTCACAAGGCTCTATATCTGACATGTAGGGAGGGTGCATGATACACTGAATACCTTTACTGTCAAAAATTGAATGACAGAGTCCACAACATGTTGTCTAGCATTGTCATGATGAAGCATCCAGTGTCCAATAAGATCAAATAATTTTGCTTCAAAATAAGTCTTTTGTTGAAAGTGTGCAAATACTAAGGCTACCCTCTCCTTTACACCCCAAACCACTGCCGTATACACACCTGGATTTGCGTGATGGTGAGTCATACTCGGGTGATGATTCCCGATTATCTCTGCTGTTCTCCTTGCTGCAGCCACAAGCAGGCAGGCCAACAGCACAAAGTGATAAAACAGACAGAAACCAACACATGCTCACAAATATGCCATGCCCTATCAAACACTAATAACCCACAGTGAGATAAGAAGTGACAACACAAAACTACAATAAATTTTAAGGTGGCATTCTCTACTCTACATGGTGCTTCTCCAAACTTGTTCACAAAAGTCAAATTGAAATTATGGTTACTCAACACACACAAACACATGCGGCCATGCCTGCACCTTTGCAAGCGCACACACACATATGCAATACTAAATTACATCATAGTTTTGTGAAATACAGGACCTTCTATTTTCTAACTGATATTTAATTATAGATATAAGTGCAACTGAAAGTGTCTCACAAACCCACACTAATTCCAAGTTAAATGGTTGACATACAAAGTGAGAATCAAACTGCAATATCTAGCCTGCTTGACTGATAGTCACCATTCATGTCATCTTGGATTTCTTTTCATGATGGCAATACCTCATTTATTTGCAAGCTGACATTGCTGTTATGACAATACAACTCATACAATCACCATTAACAGACAACTCTTCTGCAAGTAGCAGTTTCAAATTCATTTTTATAAAAAAGTAAAGATATCCCACTCCCAACTTAATGGTACCTGCACCTTGTCGTGGTGGTGGGGCTCGAGTACCTCAGTGAACCCAAGAGCTACTGGTAGGGCCTCCCTAGCCAGATTGGTCAAGGGGGAGAGGTCAGACTAAGACAGGTTGGGGTTGGTAGCAAGGCCAACAACCTTGTACCGTAAAAAGGAAGATGTTTCAAAACCTCAATCAAAGCCTCTGACAGACGGACCTAACAGAGGAGAATTGAGGAGGACATGGACCTATGTAGGTGCTCAGGGGGAGAGGCGGTATAGCTCCTACCCATTCTCAGAGGCTAGAAGAAAATCCTCTGCCAGACCTTGATTCAGACCACTGATTCCCCAGACATGTATGTGGAGTGACAACCACAGCATTGAAATATTCAGTACTTTAAAATACAATTATGAGCTTCAATAGTGGATGTCAGATAGGAGTAACCAAACACACTGTGCATTTGTGGCAGTAAATGTGATTTCCATATCCCATACATGTAAAAAGTGCACTTGTCTGTGCTTAAGCACACACTATTAAGATGTATGATGGGCAACAATGGTAAAGCTTGCAGCATCCTAAACCTTGGCACTGGATGACCCATACCAGAACACAATTCAAAGAAACAAGGCACTGCATCATGCTTGGAGAATCTGGCAGGTGGTGCACTGATATGATAAACTGTGAGCATGGTTTGATTACCAGCATAGCAAGTATTTTCTGTTCAATAACCCAATAAATTATTTTGCTGTACTGAAACCAATAAAAATGAACTGAAGTATGAGACACACAAATGCTGAAATGCAAACAGTAATAACCATTTCAGTGCCAGACTCCAACAACTTTACACATACTAGGGCCACCGAATAATTGTAGAACTTCTTTGAATTTTAATGTGAGCGATGTTTTTTATTTGAACCATTATGAAATGAAACATACATTTCCCACTATTACTGGCATAATTTCTTGATTTATATCACCAGGGAATAACTGTGTGTGGCAATACAAAATAGCAAATATTTGAGAAACACATGACCAATCTGGAACTTTACACAATTTATTTTATTCCCAATTTACTAGATTTTGGTATTGTAAGGGTTAAAGTAAAGCCATTTTGAAGAAAGGAAAAGAAGTACATTATTTATCTCTGAAACTAGTGTTTAAACTTAAGTGCTACTAAAATCTAGATATGCATTACTATTTTGTTTACAACCAAAGTACATGCAACTTCATCCAGAAAGTGTTAAAAAAGTAGGTTTTCTGAACTGGTCTTGAAGGAGCTGATCTGTACTCACCCAGGTGTTTTAGGCCTTGAAAGCTTGCGATCTTTGACAGCATGGGGTGTGGTTGGTTGTTGTTTAACCTGTTGTCGGGACTTGCACACACTGTCCACTTCAGGCTGACGCTTTGAAGTATTTTCCATAAATTCTCTGTGGTCAGAGATAAGACCTTCTAATGTTGGTATGTCATCAGGCAAGGACTCTGCTTCAAGGGTTAATAAAGTACTCTCCAGGCCAGCCAGCCAAGTCAGCAGTTCTTCCAGCAGACCCTCCAAATCATGTAAGGAGCGTAGATGTTCCACTAACCGCTGTTCTCTCTGCAAGATATATAAAGTAATGTTACAGGAATGTATGAAAACTATATTATCATGTTCATTTAATGTACTAATTTACAAACTTTTTTATTAGTTAGTTCGTCTCCCAGCATTTGTATAATACATACCTGTTTGGCCCAAGTAGACACTTCTTCCCAGCGAGACTGGATAATGGTAATCCAGTGTTTAATGACAGTTGCACCATCAGGATGGGCTTTAACAAGTATATGTTGTGCCAATGCAATTGTATTATCTTTCTCATGTTCCTTCTCAGTCATTTCACGCATAAATCTGTAGGTTCAGGACACAATCATCATTAGAAGTGTAAAACAAGGTATACACCGTCATAACACTTTCTTAAAACTGAGAAATAAAACCAAAATTAGCAGTTATCACGAATGATAACATCAATAACAACAACTATTACTGCTTCTTCTGCCACCATGAATACTACAAATAGACTATTAAATAAAACAGTAAGATACAAATAAATATAATAATGATTTGTTTAGGAGGATTACAAATTTGTGATCAGTATAAGACTTGGTTGATGGGAAAAAACTGTATCCTCAGATATCTGAAATGAACAAGAGATCAGGGTGATCAGCACAGTAATGTATGCAATAAGTTCCTCTGAAACATCAGTCAACATCTACCAGACTACATGGTGCTACAACCCATAAGACAGCTGTGCGAACCTCAAATCTCACCTGATCAAAAGAGAATCAATTAAATTTTCATTATACAAATTATAAAAAAATAAACACAGTCAAGTTTACTGTTACATCTTCTCCCCAGCTTTTATGAAGGCTGGTGGTGATAAATTTTCGTGTTCCATTATGCGTAACTAATAGTCACAGTAGTAGACATTCTCGATGTGTTAATAAACTGAAAACTTTCGATTAACAATTCTAATGCAAACAATTTAATTTTATAGCAGTGGTACTAAACGTGACCACATTAATATTCTCATGGCCTCAACACTCCTACATAAACATATTTTCCTGTCCTTTACACTTAAAGGTGTTAGTCTTCTCTTCCTGTCTCCAAGCAGCATATTTCTGAAAGTTAACAGACCTCCTAATGCTTCAATACAGTGGGTCATATATGTGAGAAATTGTCCTTTCACATACTTAGCTACAGTCCCTGTGCTATTTTTCCTAACATTCAATACTATAGACACACTCTAATACTGTGGTGCATCATCTTCATACTTACTTGTCATGTTCAGCCAACTGGTTGCGAGTCTCTTGTTCATCCTCAGGCAATGGTCCTGCAAACCTCAGCTTCATTTCTGCATCTGACAACCATTCCAGAAGCATGTGTACTGCCTTGTGCAACTGTTCAGCCTGCACACAAACACAGATTCAAATTCTGCACTGCAGACCACATGCAATCATTTTTAAATCTGAGCACAAAACCAAGTTCTTACCTCTTTCAGCGCATCCTCTAGCCGGAGAGATTTTTTCCTGCTCAGAGCTGACACTTTGTCCCACAAACCTTTGAGCTCTGACAGCTGTCCTTGGATTGTTGCAGCATCATTAGGTGTTGCCTTTGCTTCAAGCTCTTTACCAGTCCGCTGAACAGACTCCATCTGTGCAGCACGACTTGCAAGATCTTCCTCAAATGTCTGTGAAAAGAATGCAATATGACAACACATGCTGATTTCACAGCATTAAAAGGTACTGAGGTCCTTAATACAAGGATTCCTCACTAATGATCTATGACAATGGCTGACTCACTCCACCACAATTTGGACACTATCCACTGTCTAAGAGATCTTCAATATACACAATCTTTCAGGACTTGGCTCCTCCCCATTCTTTAGCTGACTACTGTCATTGTACTGTTACATGCTTTAAATATCTTTTATTTTTGAAATTCATGAAACATGTCAATGTCAAACTACGAGTCTTTAGAATACTAAACTTGGTACAGTGGTTACTGCTGATGCCGTAACATTCAAAGAGTTTTGAAGCTTGATCTCTACCTCTGCAACTGATATAAAAAATAATAATAAACAACTAAAAGTAGGTTGGCATAATGACAAAGACATGAAACCAAGAATAGAATAAACTCCAAAACATTACATCTATTAAATATACTTCTGACAGTAATGGTAGCATTCAGCATCAAATCTGGAATATTTTGAATATTAAACTTTTTTGCTAGCCAGTAAACCACCTGTGACCAGTCACTGTTAAGCACTTGATGACCTGACAGTATATGAAGACAAACATAGAACCATGCTTGAAACATCACGTATATTATACTGTAAACAGTATATGAAGACAAACATAGAACCAACGCTTGAAACATCATGTATATTATACTGTACAACTCAAAATAGGAAAAATTCAACACAATTCTGATATAACACATAACATCAAAAAGGAAGCAACTGGTACTCTTAATTTTACAGTTTTTGTAATTATAGAGTGCACACGTTATCTTCGGTTAGCACACTTTCAACTTTTCCTCTTTTTGTGCTAACGAGTACGATTCAATCCATGGACTCATGATGAAAGCTATCTAGCTATACAAGATGAAATCTATTTTTCACATTACTTCAAAGGAATGCCTGCAAATTTCACGGTGTATAGGGACAAGGTTTGCAGAGCATATTCCCTTAACTTACTAAAAAATTCACAATACGATCAATGATAATCTGGAAATATAATTGGTGCAAGTTAAAATGCAATAACACTCTATGTAAGAGCAAATCCTAGACTCACCTTGTGTTGCTCTACAAGTGCCATGACAGTATCCAGGTCTCCATGAACAGGACCTTCTTCTGACAAAACCTTCTCCACCTTTTGCAGCCATTCCAGCAGAGCCTGGACAGCATCTTTGAACTGGCCAGAAAACAGCAAAGCTTCCTCCAACTTTCTTTGTCTGGACACAACGAATCACACATTTTTAGAGCCTTATATTAAAATACAATACAGAAAGAAAATCAAGTAACATACACATTGAAATTCCTACTAAGACTCGATAAAATTCATCTGTGCAGACATATAGAGACTGCGTATGTGTGTACGCGAAAGAGAGTTCTTCTTTCATAGTTTAACAATATTTCACACAACACACAAAATAATTGAACAGCAATTTATCACAAGAAAATTATGAGTAGTCAATTGGAAGTGATGGAAAAGGAAGTGGTTGTGGCAAATTTAAGATTTGAAATTTGTTCTCACACAACCAGCTGTAGTAGGATCAGGTATGGCACTACTAAGAGCACAGAAAGGGAAGTGGGGAGAGATGAAAGTTAGGCTCTGACCTGTCAACTGACTTCGCGCACACAGCATTCCACTTGTTCTTGAGTTCAGTCATCATCTGCTTCAGAGCAGGCTCATCAGACTTGGGTGACCGCTCCTTTAGAGTCTTCCCAGCCCTCATTGTGGCATCGTAGGTCGCCTGCTTTCCAGACAGAGCACGCTGGAATTCACGATGTTTTGCAAGACGAGCCTTAATCTTTTCAGGATCATTGCCAATACCAGAAGCTTCAATTGCCAGATCATCCAAGCTCTTCTCAGTTTCTCTGAGCCATGCCATCATACCAGACCTGAACACATATTTTCTTTAATTTAGTGACAGCCTACAGTATCACAAGCAGTTTTAACTGGTATTTGTCCAACAAGAATATCAAATTCACACAACACAAATTAAATCAGCATGGGTGCAGCATGAAATATTTCCATGGCTCTAAAAACAAGAGACAAGGAAACAAACCCTTAAGACCAAAAACTGATATATATTTAATTTTATGTCACTTATAAAAGTAGGTGATATTTGAAGAGAATTAATTAAGCAACCTTTTCATATCGAATACATACTACACACATTCATATCAATATCTGAGAAAGGTACTATAACTATGATGTAATGCATATTATGTAGTAATAAATAATAAGTGTGAAGTTATTAAACTAATTTACTTAAGATTTAAATCACAACTAAATCTGTAAATAATATTTATTTCATCTCAGTTCAATTCAAAATGTTGCATACTTTGACATATAACAGTAACTAACAATCTGGTTATTGAATCTGAATGTTTAATATATGATTCCAAAAGCCTGCCTCTGGTCCTATTCCTAGGCCAATTCCATCCACCTCCCATTCTACTTTCCTAGAACTTAGCACAATATTATCCTCCCAGCTCTGTTTCAGTCTCTGAAGTGGCAACTTTCCAAAAAGTTTCTTGAACAGAAACCTAAATGCACTTCGTATCTACCCTATCTAGCTACATGTTCGGATCATCACAAATACCCTAGTTTCACTAAACTAATTGCAATATGTAACCTGTACAAATCACAGAGTTCTACTTCATGAAATATCCTAAGTTGTCCACTTCTTTCACACCATGCTCAGTTTATTATATATTAAGCTCACTTAGAGCCAGCGATATCTGTTACGGCTGGTTAAATCTGCGCTAGCAGCCGCAGTAAGAGCTGTCACACATAACAACAAAGTACACTAAACCTGATCAAATATGTAAAATGACAGATGAAGTATGAGGAATAACCAACTAATGAATTACCAAAGCACAAACTCACCAGGAGTCATGGAATTCACGTGCTTCCTTGTAGCCATGATCAAGCGCTCGAGTTCGCTCTGCCGACTTGCTTACTACCCTTTCCCAGCGATGCTGAACACTGATCAGCAGATTCTTGATGAGAATTACATCTTGTTTCTGACTGAAGTACTTGAGGTGTGTTCCCTTCTTGTCCAGATTTAGCATAGTTTCCCGATGAACACCAACATCCTTCTGGAAGGTTTTGTGTTCTTCTATCTGACCCAGAATTGTTTCCATAACACGAGATACAGGTTTCAAATTGCTCAAGATCTTCTCAGCATTGGTCAGCCAGTCAACAAAAGCCTGTACAATTAAAACACTTAAATAACACCAATCCCATTACTCTTCAGAACTGCAGTCAAAACTTGATTTTTTGTTTCTAAAGTCTACCTGCACAAATGTTTGGAGCTCATGCATGAACTGGGTCCTATATATCTCGTAAATGGATAATGAGACAGCTAGACGAGCTACTGTTACCAGTTCATCAAAAAAATGACAATGAAGAGACTAGATGTTATGACAACACCCTGGTACAAGTCAGAACCATGACTCTCACAGAGATAATAACAGTAAACTACACTACATCAACAGACATAAGTGAAGGTTTAGCTCATTCAATGGTGCATGGCATTCTTGGATTCCACAACATCCGTGCTTGATGGATTCCAAAGGAATTGAAAGAAGACCACAAGTACAATTGTGTGGACATTAGCTCTCATCCGTTGGACAATATTTAACAGCATCATCACTTGTCACGAGTTTTGGACACATTACAAATCACAAAGCAAACATCAGAGTATGCAGTGGAAGCTTCCATCAACATCTGCTGCCAAAAAATTCATGACTCAGCCAAGAGCGAGGAAGTTAATGGTGATGGTGTTCAGGGACTCTCAAGGTCCTATCCTTGAACATTACCATGAATATAATAATGGCAATGTATGCTGACACATTACAAAATAAACTGAGACCAGCCATTCACACAAATCAACCAGGAAGATTATTGGAAGGTGTTCTCTTCTTGCCTGACAATGCTCGACTTCTGCCCATACTAGGTAAACACTTCGGAAGCTGAAATTTGAAGTTCTTGACCATCCAGCATAAAGTCCGGACCTTGCACCTTCAGATTTCTATCTGTTTGGATCCCAAAACGAGGCTCTCAGAGGTTGGTTTTTGCAGATGAAGGAAGTGGTACATGACTGACTAAGCCCAAACAGTTTTTCCTGATGGCAAAAGTAAGCTTGTGGACCACTGAACAAAGTGCGATGAAAAGCATGGAAACTATGCAGAAAAGTGATTCACTGTGACCTTCAACACTAAATAAGTTGTGACAAAAAAATTAATGCAAATACTTTTTAAATCATACTCATATTAAGAGAGAAGAGAAAACCATACCTGTAAAGCTTCATGGAACTCTGTAGCCTCCTTAAGAGCAATTTCTAGTTTGATCTTCTTGTCTGAAGCTCGGGCAGTAACACTGTCCCAGCGGTTCTTAAGTGTCCGGAGGTTGTGCTGCAAGTTATTGGCTGCTCCTGAGCCTGACTTCTTCAGGTACTCCTGCCCTTGCTGCAGAACTGTCTCTACCTTGGGACGACTCTGCTCGAATTCATTGTATACTTCCTATGGTTTTAACATTGAAAGACCAATAATTAGTTACCTCAGGCAGTAGTTATAACATTCACATGCTAAGGTGAATCTAGCATTAAGCATTACACAAAATTAGAAGTGAAAATTAACTCCATGGTCAGGAAATTCTTGCAATTCCCAAACTGATTTATGCATTTCCTGCTGTTAAGAAACCTTGAGGTTAATCACCATGTTCACAAAAATCCATTACTAGACTCTATCCTGAGCGAATTCACTCCAGTTCATACCCTACATCCAAAGATCCATTTTAAGGTTACCTTCCCACATATGCCCGTTTCCCATAACCTGTCAACCAAATTTTTGTAATGCATTTCTCCCACACACTTCATGATTAACGTTCTATAAGAGTATCAGGCAGACTACAAATTATTAAACTCTTCACTGCATAGTTTTTTCCACTATACTGTTATTTCAGCTTTCTTAAATTCATATTCAAATTCTCCTCATAACTTTGTCCTCAATCTGTGTTCTTCAAGTTTAATACTCATATAGGAAAATAGCAGATTTGTACATTTCAGTGTTTACATTTTCAGGACACAAGAAGATAAAAGATTCTGAACTTAATGGGAGATAACATTACATAAAATTACCTGTCTGTCAATTAACTTGTGTTTATAGAGGAAAAAATACAAAGCTTAAATAGCTTAAATGTAATAACACACCTAGAAAATGTTTACAATAAACAATAAATAAGTAGTTGTTTCAGCTACATTCTTCTGTCACACAGTAAGGAAAATGCATGATTTTAAGAAGAGGTGACAGCAGTACTCAGCTTAAATAGCTGTCATCTTTCAGTGGGTCGTCAGTTTTGTGGAAAGTGGTATGCATAGTGAAATAGCAAAATTCCTGTTCTATGTTATATGTAAAAATCCCAAGGTAAGAATTGGGTACAGTGCAATACCATGAATCTTTCCAGCTGCTCTGAAGCAGTCTCTGGTAGACCACCAACAGGTTTCGAGGCTGCTATGACTCCATCAACATCTCCAAGCCAAGACAGAAGGTCCTGGATCTCAGCATGAAACCTCTGAGCCTCCCGCAATGCATCTTCCAGTTCATGCTGTCTATCAGCTGCCTTTGCAAGCAGATCTCGCCAATGTCGGTTCAGCTGCGATAATTTCTCTTGTGTAGCAGATGCCTCCGCAGTTCCTTTACCTGATTCAATTATCTGGCGACCTGCGTCATTGAGCGTATCCACACTCGTCTGATGTGCTTGAATGTCATTTACCAGCACCTGTTGCAATCATAAAAATTCCCACTGTGGATATCTTGCGTTTGTTCTTATCAGAACGTGGCATACTGGAATCTCTTTCAATAAAATACACGATTGGATACTGTTCTACCAAAATTAAAATTAAGGCAAATTATGTTTACAGTGATATGGACATGTGATATGCAATTACAATAGAATTCCACTAACCCCCCCCCCCAAATCACCTTGTTACATCTGTACCATTATCTTATTCTCCAAAGCAATCAATGGATATTTCTATGTTTTAAGAAATTAACAGTGAAATGTTTAATACTAAATGCAAACACAAGAGCACATAAAGGGACCAACTGAATGCTGTGCATCCAATATTTGCACTTCTATTTTTGACTGTAGAAAGGAGCTACAAACATATGATCAAACTCAACAGTACTTGAGTCTAACATGTATACAAAACAGGAAAAATGAAAGGTCTACATAGGATTAAGAAAGGATAGAATCCAGAATCAAAGCATTAAGAAAGATCTATCTAACACCACAAAAATGGCTGTCAAATTATGTTTACAGTGATATGGACATGTGATATGCAATTACAATAGAATTCCACTATGAGCAGTAAAATTAGAAATGGTATTGGAGTAGATAGAAGAATGGAGAAGGTTTGTCAAAGAATGATCAAACCTCAAAATACCAATGGCTGATGACTTGTACAAATTATTTCACATGCAGTTCATTCAAGTCAAATATGATGACTGAGACAGAAACATCACTAGTAAACCCAAAATCAACATGTTGCCGTCAACCAAACACAGGCTTCACAGAAATGTAAAGTTGTTTACATGGTCTTATGGCAACTTAACTTTGACTGAAGTATATATCCAAGAATAAGCCTACTGTGAATTTCCAAAGCAGTAACAAAGAGAATAATTTTAGTTATAATTCAGAGAGTGGGTAAATGATATTCACCTTCAGCTTTGCAAGTTCAACTTCCAGGACCTGTGGATCTCCAGCTACAGGTTTCAATTCATCTAATGTACCATCAGTTTTATCAATCCAAACCAACAGTTCTGCTAGTGCATGCTGGAACTGGCCAAGACGCAAGAGGGCATTCTCCAACTGTCTCTGTCGTTCGACCATTCCACGGAGAAGCTCATCCCAGCGACGATTCACAGCAGAAAGTGGTTCCTTGATAGCTGCAGCCTGGTCTGCAGATGTCCGTTCAGTCAGCTCTTGTGCTTGCCTGCAAGATATTGAAGTCAACCTCCGAAAGCGTAATAAATTTAAGAGAGAAAACAAGGGTCTGAGCATGATAAAAGTATATGCTGATGCACTTCATGGAAATGAGGACATATATTACTTTGATTGCAGAATAAAACAGAATGAATAAAATAAAATGCTTTAGAATATGACATGAGAGAGGCCTGAGAAAAGAGAAAGGGATTGAAAATAAATGGCACACAACAGCTCTTGGTCTGTAGTGACCATGTTAATTTGTTAGGTGAAAACAAAATCACTATAAAGAAGTACACAAAAGCTCTATCAGATGACAGTAAGGAAGCTGATCTCAAAACAAATGCATAGAAAACTAAATATCAGCATATGTATCATCACCAGATCACAGGACAAAAACATAACATAAAAGGTAGCTAATAAATCCTGCATACTTTGTCTTAATACCTGCTATTTAAAAATTGAATATAAAAATACAGAAATTAATATTATTTTACTTGTTTTGTACGGGTATGAAACTAGGACTCTCACATTAATCAATAAACACAGATTGAGAATATTTGAGAACAGGGTATGATGAATCTAAGAGCGATGAAGTAACAGGAGGCTAAAAAAAAATTGCAAGAGTTCTGTAATTTGTACTCTTCAGCAGATCAAAGGATGAGATGGCTGAGCATGTAACATGCAAGGGAGGTGAGACATGCAAAATTTTAGGTGGAAATCCTACCAGAAGACCCAAGTGTAGATGAAAGCATAATATTCAATTGGCTTTTATTTTTAACATCCTATTGTTGGAATAGTTTCTGAATATTAATTTAGAAATCTGTAAATGCAGAATTTCTCACATGTTAAAAATTAAGAGATGAGATCATAACATCAATTAGAAGCCCAGTACATAAGTTACATTCTGATTGATGAAACTGCATTACTGCAAAGTCTGAGTTAAAAAATGCAGACATCACAAATTCCTAATTTTAAACTTGGAACAATATACTGCAAAGCACATTAACAATGAAATGAATTAAACCTGTTATACAACCAATGACAAGATTCTGAAGAACAGACATTTCACTTATGTGCTTTCCTCAGCTGCAATGAGATAACTGCAAATACTCAGTTGATTTTCGGAGCAATTTATACATCTCCAGTTTCTGAACTGTATATAACGAATATTCATTACAGAACAAATTTTTTCATACTATTAAGAACTTTTGCAAAATTGTCTTCTACTGCATCTTGTTTATGGGTACTAATGGAAGTTTGTAAAAGTCATTTTGAAAACTTGAAATCGGTCAATAAATACTAACACTGATATTTATAGAATGTGACAATGCCCATAACTTGTATATATCACTGGGAATTTACTTCATATTTAATCACTGTAAATTGGCCTATTTATTTTGGTTTGTTTGGTTCCATAACACACATCACCTGAATTCAGGAAGCACCCACAAGTCTCATTAATGCAGTATTGTTAAATAATCCACAAGCCAAATAAACTCTCTTTTTGAATGTTTTGTTTCTTTCACAAAAACACAAGAGATCAACAGAAACATTACTGGTACAAGGACAGTTAATGATGAACATGCCCAATGAATAATATCATGCAAAATCAAAGCAACACACTAAACCAGTTTATTAACTTGCCTTCGGAGAGCCCTGGGTGCATCATCATTCAAGAGGGTTTGATGGCAGAAAAAAAGAGAAATTGTGATTACTTCATATTGCAGATCAAAACATATCACTGGCCTAGTGGAAAATGTCTACAAATCGCTCACATATACACTTTTATAGCATAAAGCAATGATGATCCTAGCTTGTAAAAGAATTAATTTAGGTTTCTTTCAAATACCTCCATGCTAGACAATATTTAAACACTGAACTAACAGAACATAAACACTACTTACGCATTCACTGCTACAGTGAAAAACACTCCAGAAACTCAGTATAAAATATTAATCAGAATCAAGACACAGAAACCAGATGGTGAAAATAATGCAAACTGATAGAAAAAAAATCAGTGATAAGGACATTTTCTCATGTCCACTGTAACATCACTGGGTATATTGAAAATACCACTCTGGTAATAGAACGTACATGTTAAACATTAATACCATAACCCACATCTGGACACAATCCTGAGCCACCTAATTCATGTCCCTCATATACAATGTACTCTTATCACCCCAAGACTCATCTTAACAAAGTCATAACATTTTTATCTTAAATGAGTTTCAGCAGACTAAAGTGAACTGCATTCTTCTTATAAGATGCTAATTTCAGTATGGGAAATGCAATTCCCATGCCCTAAAGCAGAGGAAACACTTTTTAAAATAAGATTCACTTAGTATGAATGACATTCAGTAAAAGCAGAAAATAAATGCCCCCAAACCATAAGAAAGTAAATCTTGATTTTCTATCTCATATTCTAAACACACGTATTCCAAGAGATTTCTTTGTTTCTTTGGTCTTCTAACATCATGTGGGCCAGATAAATTGGTCTCCAGGGCAATTTCCAACTACAGCTGTTACAAACTTAAACCAGCTTTCCATTAAACCCCATCTTCAATAAAATTAGGTAACTGTGCCACAAAACTGTTAACTCACCTGTTGAGTGCCTCAACTTTCACCATATGAGGGTCCACATCAGCTTTAAAGCCTTTTAGTTGCTCAATCTGCCTTTTCACTGCATCAATATCAGAGCCCAGAGCTCCCATGCTAGCAAACCTGTCTTCTGCGCTGTCCAGGAACTCCAAAAGGTTCTGCAAACAGCAATAAACATTATGGGCATGCAACCAGTTAAAATATGAAACTTAACATTTTGTAAAATTCAGCTGATGTTCAAAGTCTGAGCAAAAGCATGTTATACCACTATCTGGAAACACACAAGAACAATTAAATGTTCATTAAAGGCATCATGCTTCGGACCGGTGATATGGAATGCGCGCTGGTTCGAGTCTCGGGGAAAGAAACTTCTCATGAGATTTTCAACCGGTGTATGGGGCCTATGCCAACCCAGAATCGTGAGGAAATTTGGGAGCTACAATGAGCAGCGTAATCCGGTCATGAAAACTATCAATGGCTGGGGGTTCGTCATGCTGACCACACATCACCCTACATCTGGTTGGATGATCGTTCACCTCTGCTTAGGCATGTGAACGTGAGGCCAGCAGCCAGCTAGTCGGATTTGGCTCTCAGAGGGCTGTTACACCACAGATTATAATAGAGTGAAATATACACAAACTCCACTTTAGTATCCACAGGACAAAATATAGAGAAACTTAATGTCTAAAATACAACTGTAGAGATTATAAAGTAGGCTACACAGAAATATGCAGAGACCAAGTACATAACATGAGTAAAGATGAGTACAGACATGCCAGATAGCATGAAATTATAAACTTACAGAGAGAGAAGAGGAATCTAAGGTTGTCTACTTCATGAATACAAGAAAAATAACAGATCCAAAAAGTAGACTTAATAACATGGAGCATCACATTACATGAAACACTACATGTGGAAAGGAACGAGGGTGCAGATGTAATGATGCATTTACAGATTTTTATGCAATTTCATATCCACACTTCAATACAATCCTTCCTCCCCACAAAAACTTTAAACTTTACTGGCCAATAAATCACAATAGCCTCTTTATACTATGACATCAAACTAAACCTAATGTTCATTGGCATTGCACACATAAGGTTCTAACAATATCTGTGGAATTATATGAAATGAACACTATTACATACTCTTCTTCAAAATAATGAGCTGTTTTTGATAAAATCACAGTCAAAGTCTAAAAATAATGAGCTGTTTTTGATAAAATCATAGTCAAAGTCTAAGAGATCTGATGATGAAACTTCTGACTGAAATAATATTAAATACACGATTCAGAAAAAAATAATGTGAATACATTTCCATAAGTTTAAAGAATAAAGGTAAAAGTGAAAGGCGAAAGTTTGGTTTAAAACTTAAAGGCAAAATCTAAGTCAACAATTTTACATGCCACAAACATGAACACCCTAAAACAAACACCTGTCCAAGTTAGCATATGACTTCAGACTGGTAAACATGCAATTTTATTATGTGGAGAAAGAACCATTAAAGATTATTCAAGATTTTCAGAGTACCTGCAAGGTTTCATGGAACTCCATTGCCTTCTCCATTGCATCAATGAGATTCTCTTCCCTTTTTGCATACAGTGCTGTTATGTTGTCCCATGCTGAGTCCAAGTCTTCGATATGTTTTTTTACTTCAGGTTTGTCTGGCTCACCACACAGACTCATCAACTCTTGACCAGTCTGACGGCACTGATCAACTTCTGGTTTGGTCTGTGAATCAGTAGTAGTTGTGGGTTAAATATCCAACCGCACAATAATAAAATGTTACAGAACAACATAGCATCAGAAATGTGTTTTCTGAGACTGATAGTTACCTAACATGAGTTACAGAACAACATAGCATCAGAAATGCGTTTTCTGAGACTGATAGTTAACTAACACGCCAAGTTCAAAAGATGAATGGTGATATTAAGGAAGAATTACAAATTAATAATATTACACACAGAGTCTAAGAAAAGTAATAAATGGTGATAACATGTTTAAAGAACAGAAAACAACTGTATTCCAAAGGGAGTTTTATATTCTAGACCATAGCAAAACAGGGACACTGAAAGACTTCCAAGAGTAATTGACCAAAAAATATTTTAATGAGTTGAAGAAGATCATGTTATCCAACTGAAGATTCGCACTAACAATTCAGAGCAAGTGGAGTAACTTGTATTACCTGATCAATCTCATGGCGAATCTCTTGCAAGGCGACCTGTTGTTGTTGAATAGCAGCAGGTTCAACTGCAGGTGGTTCCTGTGAGCTCAGCGAGTCCTGCAGGTCCTGCAGTGTTGCCATAACACTATGCAACTCATCCCAGAATCGCTTTGCCACTGCCAGTGCATCTTCCAGGGACTTCCCTCGATCATTTGTTGCTTTCTGAACCTCATTCCACAGGCTATTGAGTCGTTCAAGTTTACGCTTAATATCTGGAATGAAATGTGAAAACGTCAATATTACATTTACCACACATATATTTACTATGTTAACTTCTTGTATTTGAATACTAAATCTGATTTGTGAGGAAAAATGGCTTCCATTCTGAGCAATATGGAGGTAGAATTGAGATTTATTTCAAATAACCTAGCCTTTAAGATGTTGCCAACAGAGAATATGAGAGCATAATGTTGTGGTATAACTTGAAGACACAACCTCAGGATCCAGCAACTATCGTTTTCCCGTATTCATCGTTTTTATTTCCCACCCCCGCCTAAAACGATCCATCGAGGTTTCACTGTATTCAAAAAATACACTAAAAACAAAAACTGATCCAAAATTATCCAACTATTAATTGTGTACCACACTAACTTTCAAGTCAGTGTTCAAAGAACAACTATGTACTGGTGTCAGCTAATGAGAGATTTATGGTTACTTTTCTGGGAAGAGAGCTTACCAATCTCAATTTTCACAGCCATTATCTCATGATAAACTGGAGTCCCTGCAGATCAACAAGTGATCAAATGAATGAAAAATTTAGGTTGGAAAACCTCAATGGATGACAGTGATTGAGAGACCTAGATATAAAAGGGAAGATAAATCAACATGGATTTTATAGAAGTTATATTTTAAAGGCGTGAAATGAATTAAACCTGGTCTGTGCAAGGTCCAATGCAGGTTGTTCATTATGACAATTATGAACTTTCATGTTTTAAACAGAGAAGTGTTCTTTCTACTTTGCTTTCAATGTTATTACTGAGATACCTACCTCTGACAGCTGGCTCTGCTCGATTACCAGCCTTGCTGATGACATCATCAGCCGCTCTCTTAACTGCTGCAAATGCTTCCTCTCGTTTGTCCAGATCTTCAACCAAGGCTGCATTCTCATCCATTTGGTCACGGATACGAGGAGGATGAGCAGATACAGGCTCAGCAGAGTTGACTTGATCAGCAGCAGAGCCCAAAGCACGCAGCATGCCTTCCAGTTTATCAGAGAACTGACTAGACTCCTGCAAAGAAATATCACAGAGCTCATTTAGTATAATCAGTTTATGACAGTATAGTGCATTGTTTCACTTACAAAAATCCTTTCTTAAGAGTGATAAATACATATTGCATGGAGCTATAGCTAACTCCCCCACACATCTTCATGGTGTGATGTTCAGTTAAGTACAGGGACAAATTTACTTTTACATTTAGTTATTAAGACATTCTATAATCTACAAATTAAGATTAGACTGCAGAATCAGTTTCCCCTCAATTTAAATTAAAATATTTCACCACTGGCAAGCATTAAATTTTAAGCTCTGGGGAAACAGTAATGCATATTTTAATATGATTTCCGCACCTTACACAAGATAATAATTATTATCTCATTAAATTTTCAACAAACTTCAACAATGACTAAAAATGTAGTTATTGCCTGTCTGTGAACCCATCCATGGCAACTGGTTGAGTGTACTTCTGAGTCCTGATTAGTGTTTGTTACTCAGCAGAAAAGCTTTAACCTTCGTAGTGCAAGCCCACATGAAAGTCCAATGGTAGTAAACCTGTGGCTAGAAACTCATCAGCTGAAATATATTTGTTAAAAACTTATGTTTTAGACAAGGTCCACATGTTCCCCCACAACTTTCATCCACATTGTCAAGGTCTAAGCTTTCCTCCTGAGTAACCGACAGTACCAGCTACATAAGTGATTCTTATTAACAGTACATGTCTATATCTTTACAAATCTTCATTAATACCATCACAACGCAACATTAATGTGCTTGGGGTCTTAATGTTAAAGCAGGAAACTACTGTTACATTTATAAATTGTTAATATAAGTTAAAACCCATAATATTATATTACAGTTGTATAATACAATTTTTAAATTGTTTAGCAAGTTACTTTCTTATGATACAACACCTGTGTTAAGTTAACCAACTTCACTGTGTGGATTAAAATTCATTATATATTACAATGGTTACATTCAAACATGTTGTGCACCATCAGATGAAAATTACTGTCTTCTGTTAAGTTGTATTGTGTAGTCTGGTAGATGTTCACTGACATTTAAGAAGTGCTTGCTGCCCCAGTATCTGAGCAATCATCCTGATAATCAAGGCAGCATGTACCTATGAAACATCAGTAAACGTCTACTAGACTACACAATGCAACATCCCAGAAGACAGTCATCTTCATACCAGCTAACATAAAAGCCTTAAATCTGAATTGGATGAAAGTTATAGTTGTATTGTGATGATCTGAAACATTCAATACAACAGTAAAAACACCACATTTAAACACAAATATGTTTATACTCCTACAACTAACTGCAGGGTTTGGAGCAGCTTCATTTAACATTTGTACCATGACACTGCTTTTTGAGAGTACGTGCATTTAGCATGCACCAAATATTGATCCACTGTAACACAATCTACTCCAACATAAATAAGGATCTTTTTTAATAATAATAATTCACTTCAACAAATAATTAAATATTTGTCATAACACACTCTAAATCCTTGGTTACTCTGAAATGGAAATACCTGCAAAGCCTGTTCCAGTGCTAGCTGCCGTTGTCGGAGTTCACTTCTGAGGGCTGCATAGCGAGCATTGTCTGCATCCAAGATATCCTGAACCTTCCCTCCTTCTTCATCATTACAAAGTCGAATCAGAGCTTCACCTGTCTTATTCAGCTTCTCTACCAGTGGCTTGTGCTCAGAGATTGACTGAACAAATATCTGAAATAGATGTATCAATTTAAGTGCACAATGAAATGTTTAAATGTTGTGTTTGATTTTAAATATGCACTGAAAACAAAACACAAAAAACATAAGTAATAAACTAATGTGCCATAAATATTTAAACATTACAGACATCTCATTATAAAAACAAAAATAATTATTGCTAGTCTTGTTAATGCTGAATGACTTCGATTTTATATTTACACCGTCTGTCTTACATACACAGGCTGCCCCAAAAATATGCTTTCTCACATTCAATGACTGAAATAAAAACATTTAAATAAACAAAATCATTACAAATGTCAGCATTGGTGCCCAGTGAATTAGTGAATAGTGGTAAACAACTGACTGACAAGCAGCCACCAAAGTTGGTGCTGTGTATACATTCTTTTGTGACACTTGTATATGTACTATTGGCATTCAGAAATAACACAATTTAAACCACTAAACATTTTGATGTTTGCATAATTTTCAAGTGGTACATTAGTCTGAATACTACTCACAAGTCGGTAATACTGAAACTAAACAGTTTGCATAAGTCAATAACCGACCACAGCAGTTCCAACCATAAACAAAATGTTTGTACATGAAACTTATTGGCCTATGGAAATTTTTGTAAGACACATAACAACATGTAAAAGAGTCACAGACTAATCTACCAATAGATTAACTTACATTCAATGCCTTGACAGTACACAACTGAATAATGATGGAGATAGATTAACTTACATTCAATGCCTTGATAGTACACAACTGAATAATGGTGGAATAATCCATATCTGAGATGGACACACCATTAACCTCAATTGTAGGGTTTGAATAATGGGAAGCAGAAGGGACCTACAGCAATGAACTGTTACAGGGGTCTGATTTTCTCACTATCACAATACCAACCTCATTCCTGTCTTGCTGCTGACTAATAAGATCTGGTCTAAGAGCTGGCATAGCCAGCATAGCCACCTGCTGTTCCATTTCATCTAGCCAACTGACCAGTCCAGCATGAGTCTCATGGAAATGTTCCGCTAGAGGAAGAGCCTGCTCTAGCACACCCAGACGATCAGAGCTCAAACTGGACACTGTGTCCATAGTCTCACGCAGATCTTCCATCTTCTCACGAATAATTGATGTATCTTCATGCTGGGCACACTCACGCAGAACCTAACAAAATAAACAACACAACTGAAAACACAGTACCATTTCCTTAATGAAGAACTAAGACTAATTCTTGATCTATTTTACAATTCTCAGTCAGCTGCACAGGTTATATACCAAGAAAAATAAACTAGGAAAGGTGTAAAGGGAAGTACGATAATATATTTTAATGAACTATCCCATAATTTACCAGGTGAGAATGTGTAAAACCACAAAATAATTCAGTATGAATGGGTAATCACCAAGTCAGCATTTAAACCCACATCCTCCTAGTATAAAGCAGAGTAAACTACTTAACCACAATATTTATCAATGAATAGAACTACTAATGAGACATAATACAATTCTTACTAGGCACATGTTAATACTGTTTTTCCTAATAAAGTCAAATTTTAGAAGTGTTTATAATTAAATAACTGGCACCAGTAGTTACAAAATATGAACAATGGAGAAATATATGTAGTAAATGTACACAATTCATCACTTGTGAAAAGGATCAGTTACTACAGATAGGAACCAAATTATATTGGATAATGCAGTTTATTTCTCTTTAAACAAATTCCAGTTCAGTTTCTATTTCAACTACTACTGAAAACCCAAAAAAGACCACATGTTTTGCATTAACGTCAGTAAAAAATTACTCCTATGCTTGTGTTTGTGTATGTGCATCAGAGTGGGCACATGTACATGTATGTACTCTATGCTTTAGTGGCTTGGGTTCCAAAGAACAAACCTGTGTTTCTATCAGCTGCTTCTCCAGAAACTATTACTTTCCTGATATTTAAACAGCAGTTCAGTAAACATGTGTGAAGGTGAAAAGCTATCAGATAACTGAACAATTTCTTGGGTATTTATTTTATTTTCTATTTTTATTCTTGGGTGGTCTTTTCTATCTGAATCCATTTAGTGTTTGTTCTTTTTAAGAACACTTTGTAACTCATTATAATACTCTGTTCACACTAACAAGTACCAAGTACTTATTTATTAACCAAAACAAAGAAATGTGAATGGAATAAGTAATAACAATGCTTTACCTTCTTAGCGGTAGACAGAACATCTCGGACACGACCCTTCTGACTGGAGATGTCATCATTCAGTGCTTTGTGTTCCTTTAATTGTACTCTAATAACATCAGGGTCTGAGCTGGGAGGTTCTGCATCACGGATCTGTCCATCTACCTCATGGAACCAGTCAAGCAGCTCATCAATGTCCCCAATAACCTCCAGCGATCGCTAACAAATATATAAATTGTCACTATAACAGTTACAAAAAGGAAACAAGAAAGAAATGATCAAACTATAAAAGTCAATCACAGTAACAAAGAAAATGGAAGATATTAGAAAAAGAGTCTTTCATTAACATTATAAATGTAACACAATTAGAAAAGTAGTCATGGCTGATTTATAAACCTGTTCATTAACACATATACAAGAGGGAATATAAATCACTTCCTTTCACTTTAGTGGAATATTTAATTTGATAAAAACCTTCTCTAATAACTTTCCTGAAAGTATAAAAATGTATAGTACATTAACAGCAATAAATCAATCACTCTCAAACTAACATTTTTCAGGAGAAAAAGAATGCCACTGTTATACACTAAAATCAAACTAATGTTCTTTGATGGCTGAGACATATTTGCCCATTTGCTCTGTTAACAGGCATGAAACATCACAGGATGAAAGTCAAAATAGCTTACTTACTGGAAAACAAACATCACACACCCATATGGAAATTCAAAGTAAATTTTATGGCACTTACTTAAAAATCTTTACATGAATTTTATATATGCACAAAGTAGACAGATCAAACTGGTAAAAAATGTATAGCATCGCTGTGAAAGCAATAACATATAGTAGTATATCACATGAATGAGCAATGCTATCATGTAATATTAAACAATCTAACAGTAAACAGCTTTCATGTCATGTGACAAAGACTTTGCTGCTGCCATGCCATTCACTTGTTGCAGTGTTTTCATCAAACAAAATTGTACAAATGCATACATACTCTTATTCAGACCATTTGTTGTGTTTTAACAAAGTTAAAAGCATCTAATAGCTTTATCATACCTGCTTATCATCATATATATATCTCAACCAAGCAAATCATATATTGATTTTGATGATTTAATATAGGAAACAATAATAATGAGAATCAAACATAAAAGACATTTCTTTAACAAATTTGTGTCTACCTGTTTGGAAAGATGGATGCGTTCTCCTTTACGTTGGATCTGCTCAGCAATGGCATCAAACCTGCGATTGTCTCGGGTAACAAGACCTTCTATAGTGGAAGCACCTTCCCCTGGAGAGATCTGACACAGCTGTGGACCCACTAGGTTGATGCTTTCCAGCACTGGCCGGAATTCTGCAAAAAATCAAGGCTAACTATTTACCAAATATTCAGAACATTTTCACTTCATGTGTTAGGAATAAAACAATATACCTGCAACATGAGAAATATGCTTACTGCAAATACACATTTAATGGCAGAATGAAAGCAGCAGAAGTGTCACTTCATATATCATTTCTGTATTAGTAACTTTTCCTTAACTAAGCACCACACCATGAAGATGTGTCGGCGAGTGGAGGTATAACTCAACTTTCTTGACTTCAGGAGTATAAGTAGAAATATAACACATTTTGTCTCTGTAAGACAAATATTTATAGGTTTTTTTTTAAGAATTCTGAATGACTTGTTATCTTTATACCTTCATCCAAACACAATTCTCTTTAACCTTTCTCAGAAACCTAAACTGATATGAATTTTCATAAAATTCATTCTTCAAACACCTGATTCAGTGAGGAAATGCTTTCTGCAACTTATGAACAAAACTGCACTGTGAACAGCTCAAGTAGTGTAAAAATCAAATCCACCTTATTTTCACAACATGAACAAGTAGAATGAACACACTAACAATTTAATCTAATATAACACTAATGCAATAATGAATCATTTGATGTGGACATACATTATTACAAATAAATACCTTGAATATCATGTTCTAATCTTTGGATATCTTCTTCTCGAGGGTCAGCACACTGTAGCTGGGTTTCTGCCCCCATCATCCAGTCGACTAGACGGTTGTGGCAGTTGTGGAACTGCTGGACTAATGGCAATGCTTCCTGCACATCAATGAATCACAAGAATTAGTTACAAATATGCAAAAAAATCACAACTACATCTATCATTCCTCAAAAACACACTCAAAAAACATGACAATTCATTCACAGAACATGTGAAAGAATCATAAAAATGTGCCTCTATAAATGACATAAAACCTTACATCAACATATATAATTTAGATTACCAGGATGTCAGTATGTGGATGGATGTTTTGTTGTAATTAAGAGGCTTTTAAAGTGGTTAAAAGTAACGCACAGCTATAACGGCAATTTATTTCCATAAATTAATTTAGACGGATATTTATTCTACAAGCATCAACTAAAGATGGTTCCAAACATTCATCAGTTTAAGAAGGAATCTTATTAAATGTATGCAAAGCTGTATTATCTGTAAGTACAAGGAGAACTGGAGTCTATCAACAGAAATTTACATACTACAATAGGCCAACTAACAGCCAAAAACTGATTTAATTCTTGCATTCACATAACAAAACAAAAAACATTTGCCAAGAATTAGAGAATGGCAACCTATTTTGATGACAAACCTCAACCAGAGTAACACCAGATTTTGGACTATGACACTATGTTCGATAGATGAATGATGGTACTAATTATGCTGGAAAGTAAAATCGTAATTCCTTTAATTGGATATCTACCTTATCTTAATTTCAGAACCCAGGCTTTTAATAAAATGCACTTGGATATGTGTATTGTTTCCTTTAGTTACTATACGAAGAAAATAAATATTCAATATGTTTATGTCATTTGGTTACTGAAGTCAGTTGAAGATAAGTTTGCTATCACCTTCCAAATAAGAGGAGAATTCTTCTGAGCTGATGGATTATTAAATGTTAATATATTCTCAGCATGTTTGTCATAGGTGAAGTTAATCTAGACGCTATAATGCTATACTGCATATCAGTTCTTCTAATGAGGTGTTCATTACATGCAACAATATACAGACAAGAAATGGACAATGGTCATTCATTAATTTTCCCTTTTGTTGGCAAAGGATAAATAAATGTGTTCAATAAAATAACTACAACAAAATAACTTAATATGGCTTAAAATTAAAACAGGTTAGCAGTAACTGATATTGATAAATAACATAATTGTCTGAGAATGGGTCTTAGGCCTAACCCTTGTTAAGGAACAAAAAATTATAAAATGATATAGCAACAAAAATACAAAAAAACAATAGGAGCCAGTGTATTTTACATATATTCCTAATAATATTTAAAAGAATGGAGCTATAACCACTGGATAATATTCTGCAAAAGTATTTGCAAGTTCTAGGCATATCACAATCTAACAGAAATGAAAATGTACCTGAGCATGTTTGAGTAGATCGGCACCACGTGTTGTGAGATCATTAAATCGCCGCTGAAGTGAGTCCAGCTTGTCTTTCAGTTGTAACGCTTCATCACTTGAAATGTGCTTCATAAGTTCAAGGCCACTGTCAACAGTTCCATCCACTTGGCTCTGATGGTTAGCTATCTCCTCTGTTAAATCCTGTAAAGTGAAGCCAAGATATTTAATTGATGACCTCTATAAAACAAAAGAGTAGTCACTTTGTGACAATGCACTGTCCAAAATCCTCTCCATAATCAAACATCTGTGGCCAAGTGTCATTTTATTACACATCAGTTACCCTAACAATAAAGCATGTGCCAAAAACACTTCCAACTACGGGTTGTAGGAGGAAGCAGGATGATTCTCTCACTACTGATATTTTGCACAGTCAATATTAATAATGTACGAATGCATGAGCATGGGGCTAAGGCATATAAAGCAAATTCAACAATGCAGATGTGGAGTTCTTTGGTGGCCACATTTCTCAAAATTTATGGCCCCCTCAACCTCTGGATCTAACACCACTGGATTCCTATCTTTGATAATTTTTGAAGGACATCATGTACAGAAACAACCTGCACACATCTGAAGAATTGAAACAAAATAATGAGCTGTGTTTTTCAAACATTACAGCAGAAATTCTTCCACATCAAATATGAGGAAAAGAGTAAATCCATGCATCACTGAAAGCAGCGGACATTTAATACAACACTGTTTTCTGATTTCAATGTAATTCATTTATTGACAAACTGAACTCGGTTTGCATGACTTTTCAATAACTCTGTGTATATGTGTTAAAGTGTTTCTTTATCTTCCACACAGTGGTCTCTCTTACAAAGAGTTATCCAGCTTGGCAATTCCTGCACAGCAGCTAAAGGTTCTTACCGCAAGGTCATCCATCTGCTCCAGCAGTTTGTCAGTGTGGACAGCCAGGACTCTGTAGTTTGCCATTCGATGCTCCATTGCTTCCATCCAGGCTTGCAGGTCTTGATATGTAAGTACCAGATGACGCAGACCAGCACGTGACTGTTGGAGAAGCTGACCCACATTGTCCGAGGCCTCTACCACGGCAGTGTAACGATCTGTTGTGTCTTGTAACTTGTCTGCTAAACCTGCTGCCTCATCCTCACCTACAAGTGCCATCAGAGCACTGGCCACCTCAGTGAGCTCAGAGAAGTCTGGTTTCTTTCGCAATATTTCACTGTGAAGAACCTGTGCAGAAATAAGAAACATTATATTATGTCTCAACAGGTGCGAAGGTTGCATTGTTTTCTAACACCGTTAGTTTCAATGCCACAACATTTTTCTACATATATCAGGAACTGTATAAGAGCCCTTTATGTCATGTAGATTTCTTTAGAATTATATGCCATTTTTTAAATAAAAGCTGTAAAATCATAAAACCACTTAAATATCAAGACAAACCTAGTTTGGGAAACAGAGTTTATTGTATAAAGTACTGTGTAAATTAAGAAGTTAAAAGGCTTATTTAAGACAAAGTGTGATCTTCTTAAGTTAATCAATATTTTGCATATCACAGATGTAGTTTGTTTCTCAACTGCATATTAAGGATAAATGTAAAGGATGAACAAATAAGGATGTGGAAGAGGTTACAGCACATTTTAAGCTAGAATTGCATAATCCCCTGGAGATACTGAAGAAAACCATGAAAAACTCTGCCAGGATAACGGCCTCTGAATCAATAACTGAAACTATTACCACCCAAACATACAGCAAGCGCAAAACCAACCCAATTGTGTCACTTGGTTCCTAGTAAAGGGGTCTACATTTTCTTCCATTAACAGAAATTGGTACTTACATTGTGTTCCTTAATCCTCTGCTGAATCTTCTCTTCATCTGTCGGAACAAGCTCCATGTCTTTCACCTGCTTCTCAGTACGATCCAACCATTCCATCAATGGCACCAACTTATCCTGTAAATATGGAAGCCAATTAAATACAGAATTATAAAAGTTGATCTCCGTGTTTTACAAGATAAAGTATAGCAAATTACGTTACATTATCTATACAATGTAGAAAATTACATTAAATAAAGTATCTAACTTAAATCCTGAACATGTAGGTAAAGCTGTCAATTCCACTTCTTTAAAATATATCTTTCTAAAAAGCAAAGTTTTTAACATGTCAATACAAATAATGTGCAAGTATAAATGCCTTTATCTTTATATTATATCACCATGTTTCAGTGTTGCACACCTGGAAGTCTTTTGCTACAGCCATGGCCTGCTGGAGATCATCATAACGTTGAGTGGCACCAGTTGTTAAGTTTTCAAAACGCTCCATAAGTTCTTGCAATTGTCGTTCAATACCCTTACGCTCCACAGGGTCAGCACCAGCTGCCACTTCGTTGCCCATGGCAAACAGAGATGACATTGAATTTTGGCGGTCAAGCAGCATCTTCTTGAGGAACTGCACATTAAAGAGAACAAATTTTTTAATTTAATGATAAAATTACTTAAATTTATATGGATGTTTTCTATGTAGTACTTTTTTCATAATATTTTAAGTTTTTCTCCCTCTTGAACATTCACTGTGATTCCATTTCAAATTATCTCTCTTATTTTCTTTGCTTTTACGGGATATTAGAATTACCACCTTAAATAATTTTCCTATCTGCCTTAGATTCTTACTAAATATTTTCTGTTTTCATCTCATATTTGTTCTTTCTTTTCTTTATCTGTTTCTTCCTCTTGTTCGCTTCATAAATGCACTAAAACTATCATCAATATGCAAAAATGTTTTGTGACAGTTTCAATAATCATCATAACAGACATTAAGGCTATGACTTAACCTCAGTAAAAAAACACATGGTCAATTAAGAACAAAGTATGTTTGCTGATGTTATTACTTATGAACCAATGAGTCACTGTTAACATGTTGTATAAACTTGATACATCATTTATAGCCTAAGAAAATATATAGACTTGTTTACAAAAGCACATTTTCATAGACAAGTCTCTTTTCTGTGTGAAGTATCACAACACAAATTTTAGTTTCCAAGCATTTTGAGTATTAACGATTACCATGAAACTGAAACGCAATTATTTGTATACCTTTTGTTCCTGCAGCTGTGCCTTGACAACTTTGTAATCTGCTGATGGTGGCTTCTGATTGGCTACCATCTCTTCAGTGTCAGTAAGCCACTTAGCTAAACCATCCAATGCTTCCTGGAACTTGCCCGACTGCAGGAGACCAACATCCAGCTTGCGGTCTCGTTCATTCAACTGGAAGTGGGTAAAGAACATAAAATTACTACTATACACAGTAATATATGTAACTGATTACTTAACGAATACATTATGAAAGGTTGATGAAGGTTAATAGGAAAGGTACACTACATAACATAGCAACCTACAAATAATTGAAAGAAGACAGTACATAATATAAAACACTGTGATTTACCCAGACCACCTGGTATAGATAAGGTAGTGCAATCTGAGAGCTTATGATGAACCAAAAAAGCAGCATGGATTAGAAAGAGAAGACATGCACATACAAAGAAACTTGGAAGATGTTCACTTAGAAGATTAAGGAGATGGGTGGTCAAAATCAAGATGGACATTAGAATATGTCACAAATTGTTTATTCTGATCAACAGAAAACTGAAATTTGTAAGAAAAATCTTGCTTGCTATGTGTATACAGTATGAAGCCATGGACTCTTGTATTTGGGTTTTACTCCTACAAACAGGACTTTACTATACTGTATATGAAAACTGTATCATATATAATAATATAGAAATGTCATTCCAAAGTCTTATATGAAAATGTTTAAAGGTTATCTTGGGGTTATGTCAGAGGGTCTAAGTATTAACTTCCACTGTACATGCAATGCAGTTTATGCTGCAGATGACTGCAATGTACTAGCATATCACTAAACCACTGAATGCACAGCAAGAGTCTGACCAGTAGTTCAATAATATGGGGATTTATGTCCCCTTTTCCCATGTGATGAATGTTAAAAGCATACCAAATAAATAAATAAAATAAAATAAAAGCTATGACATACAACTCGTAAAGGTGAATACCAAAAGAAGTTTATACTGAAATGACAGTTTAAAAATGCTTTCATATTTAAGAAAAGGAAAAATAATGGTCAGGCCCTTTTATTGTCATGGAGTGGTACAGAGCTCTTATCAACATAAATCTATGTGATATGGTCAGAAGCAAGGTTTCAAAGACATGGCATATTTGTAGTAACCAATTCAATGAATATCAAAGTATTTCACACTGTTCAAATAGAGAACAATGCTTCGCTGTCAGATCTGATCATGTACAGAATTCTCAAATATTCAATGCTTTCATTTAACAGTAACTAAATGTGTCAACTGCTTTAACAATCAACAACTCTGCCTTTTATATTTGTGTGTTTCGTATGATTCTCAGTGGAAACAGTGATCATTTCCTTAAACAGCATTAACAAATTGATCTTTGTAATGAAGAAGTGTTCGTTTTCTTCGAGGTAAAGACTGAATTCTTAAATATCAATCAGATCAAGTCTGGTTTCAAAAGAATAAATTGTTCTGTACATATACTGAAGTACAAAAATGCTTGCTTAATTCCAAACATTTTATATATTACAATAAAATCTATGATACAAATTAAGTATAACAGATTGAAAGTTTCACATTTCTATTTTAGATTCTTACCAAGGATTAATAGAATGTATAAAAACTTTAAACACACATTAATTTTATGTATGCTGTAACAAAATGTTACTGTATATCTTCATCAAAACTAAAGAAACTTCTTACCCTGTCCTTGAGGTCATTCCATTTGTCATTCATCTTCTCCAAGTCCTTCTCAAGGCTTGTAGTGTTAACACCTCCTGCAGCTGATTGGATGAGTCCCTGCCCCAGCCGGTTGCAGTCTTCCACTTGGTGTGCCAGAGGCTCAATGTTGGAAGCTTGGAATGCCCTGAACTCCTCCTGCTGTGCCCGGATGCTTTCTACTTCTGAACCAACCGGCTTCAGTTCACGAACTCTTTCACTGGCCTGCAAATCATACCACAAAATTAACCCATTCAAACTGATGACTCATTTCATATCAAACTGCTATCCTATTCAACATAAAACACATCTTAAATCATATCACACTGATAACCTACTCAAAGTAACTGAAAGAATTTGCATTACATTATCATATTCTTCAAAGAAACTTAAAACATAAATGCTATAAAACTGGAGTCCTCTTCAAAGTATCACACAACTTTATTACATTACAGTCTTCTTCAAAGTAATGGCAGAAATTAGTTCACATAATACTGCTACCACTTTAAAAGAAACTGACACTAACCATTTCATGTCATTCTGATATTGCTATCCCGTTAAAAGTAACTGATACATCTTAATTCAGATCACACTGATATCCTCTTCACAGTAACTGACAATACTTGATTCATGTAAGCTGTTATATGAATTAATGAAATTAAATTCTGATAGTACAGAAATATTTTAATTCACCTCTGCTATATCCTGTGTAACTGCAGAATGGATCTGATAGAACAATTCAAGCCTTCCCAATGTTGAGTCAAGATCTTCTTCTCGGGACTTAGCGCGTTCATCCAGGCGACCAAGTTGTCGTCGCAGCATTTCAACTTGTTCACGCGTTGCTGTTGTATCAGGAGCAAATCCACTGTCTACAAGATGCTCCCCTGCAGAAACTGTATTGGCAACATCATCTGCAGCCTTTGCTATCTGAAAACAGAAAGCAGAAGGCCCATGACAAAGTTTAATCGCTATGTATTAGCACCTCTAATGTCAATGCCTTCCACTTGAACTGGCACAACTATTTTTATACCTATAGGTACTCAACTAAACTGCCTTATAATTTACACTTGTCAGAGGTCCAATACAAAATAATTGTGATCATCCTTTATTTATCTATGGTTGCAATTTTAATCAAGCCTACATTCTATTACATGTTTAATGATATTTTTCAAGTTTTTCAAATTTAAATTCTAAACAGGATATATACTGACCACAAATATAATTCTTATCTTACAATGCCATAAATGTGGTGCAGTTCCAGCTTATGTAGGAAGAAACTTGGATGAAAAAACTTGAATGAAATCTACCATTAGTAACATAGGGTAACCCTAAAATTATAAAAATATTTAAGATATCTGGGAATGTATGAGATGACATTGAAAAAGACCTTACAGAAATGGGGTCTTAAAATATGGATAAAACTGAACTGGCTTGGGATACAGCCCAATTGCAGGGTTTTTTTAACTTCATAATGAACTTCTAGTCCAAAAAGTTATGACATTTCTTGGGCAACAAAGTCACTATCAACTATACAAGGAAGACCTCAATCATCGAAAAAAGTGGTTACAGTAAATAAAGTTCATCTACTGTATTATGATGATATACGAGAAACACTGTAATATGAATGATCCCAGTTCATTTTTATCTATTTTACATTTCTTCCATGACAAGATTATATTAATATACTGTTCAAATTGGTTGTCCCAATGTGGAACAAAAAGAATTTCAGAGAATGTACCTTCTTCAGAAGTTTTCCTGTATCATCCAACTGTCCTCGAACTGTCTTCAGATCACGACCTGGAGGTTTCATGGCATCAAGCTCATGCTCCAAGTCTGAAAGGTCATGGCTTAACCCTTTCACCTGGTCCTGTAAATGAAAAAACCTTTCAACTATTAAAACTTATATGACTTTCTGCTGAAATTTACTTATACAGTAAACATGATTCATATTACTGCCATTTCTCCACATACAGACTCTTCATTTATATATTTTTACTTTAAAGTCATTGAAGAATATGTATATCTACATCTAGGTTATTGAACTTTACAAGAAATTAAAGCTTCAATGCAGTTACATGATTAGCAACAGGCAACATGGCAAAAATGACTCTCCATTAAGGAATGCATAAATTGCATAACTGGAGGTGTAACAGTATTATCGTATCTTTCTCAGCATAAAAGATACACATCTGAAAAATTAAAATTTGTAAGAGGAAAAAAGATTCTATCGGCTATAACAGTCTTATGAAATGACTGAGTCTTTGGTTATTTTATGACGCTGACTCAAGTACATAAGTTATATGGTATCAAATCAGATAGGAAGATGATCATAAGTGATAAGCAGATAATGATTTGGAAGGTAGGGGCTGTGGCTTATTTTAAGGTATTATCCTGGCATTCACATTGTGAGACAGAGAAAAACTACAAACATTCTCAGTCAGGTAAGCACGTCCCAGGCAAGATCTGATTGTGACTTCTATATAGCGTAGAACGAACAATGAATCAGAAAGGATGTGGAAGGAAGCAGTTGTAACCTATTTTAAAAGCAGTTGTAACCTATTTTAAGGTACTATACCATAATTTACCTGGAGGGACTGAGGAAACAGCTAAAAACCTCAACAAGCAAAGCTACTCTCCAGGTCAAGATTTGAACCTAGGACCTCCAAAACACAAAGCAAGAATGCTAACACTCAACCAAAATGTTTAGCCTACAAGGTTTTGGGAAGAGAACACAATGCCAGGAAGGGTTTTATAAATTAGAAAAACTGAGAACAAGCAGTTGCAACATTTCTTAATGTGTTACATGGTTTACTGGGGGAGGAAATCCAGTCTCAAATTTAAGTCTGGGTCTCCTAAAAATAAATGTAAAATGTTATGACACTGAACTCAACAGCAAGTGAAGTACTAACATTGAACTGAGTGACTGCTGTTGCTGCAGACTGCAGCTCACTGCAGCGGTCATCCAACTTGGCCTGCAAGTCATCCAGTCGATCAGCGAGGTTATCCACTTCATCCTGCAGGTGAGAGGCATCAACACCATGTTCACCAGCCAAATTCACCAGGTCACCAGCCACCTGGCGAACTGATTGCAGTGGCTTCTTCAATCCTCCTGTCTCCTCTCGCAGTGTCTATATTTTTTACAACACACAAAATTAGAAATATATAACATGAATGGTAGATTTTCTGTTTATCAATATGAATATCGGCAAAGTATGATGTACGACAATAACAAGAAACCTGATAAAATATGCACTAAAAGAAGTGCTGCCCAGATTTTGGAAATTTTAAATTTACAACTGCTACTGAGAACATACTAAAAAACTAAATGAGGCACAGATAATTCCAAATATCTCCTGTCTAAATTTTGGGGATAAACCACATGCAATGTTGCAGGTTTTCCAATGTTCTGATAAACATTGCAATTATAATCTTCAGGGTGAATGTGTTGTGGTCAACAAAACATTTTTCAAAGCCTCTTCTTTTAATCACATGGTCACCAGAACTTCTTTTCATGATGTAGGCCCTAAATGCTTGGAAACCTATTTTTCACCACATCTATTCTTCAACCGCATGCTCGTTACTGATTAAACAGCAACCTGATCCTTTGCCCCAAATACACTGCATATAGCACCCAGCATCATAATTTCATAAAGTTGACAGAATTTATCACAACTAAGTTTCAATGTTCACATGTTAACCCACAAACTGTATTTTCTTGCAGACTGTTGTATTTATTACAAAATTTTCAATAACAGGAATCAGTCAGCATGTATTCCATACCTTTATTCGTTCCAATAACTTTGGATCTTTAGAAGCTCCACCTAGAGCATCATGTGAAGCCAACTTGTCTTCACAACGTTGAAGGGAATGCTGAAGGTCACGCAAGTTCTCTGCGAAGTCAGTCAACCGCCGAGCTGTGTCCTCCAGGGACTGAGTGCGCTCCAACAGATCTATATCACAAAAAACAATGATCCTAATATAATCAACATAAAGATGATTATGGCAGATAATGACATTAATATATCATCATATTATAGTGATTGTTAGAGAATTTAATAATACCACATTTCTGCATTGCTTGACCTGACTTCTAGATCAGTTATCACCACTGACTGATGACAATAACTAATACAAGAAAACAGCAACAGAGTTGTAGAGAAATATGGGGAGGGGGGAGAGCTGCACATCAATTGAAATATTACCAAATGTCACACATAGAGAATGAATGTTTTTATCACATTTAATGACATGAGCTAAAGTAGAACTACACTAGGACACTATTAAATTGTACAAATTCTGTAGTGTATTTGAAAGGTAAAGATGTCCCTGTTATTAAACACCATGCCATGAAGACTTATGGGGGAGTGAAGGTAACCAAAATGCATTCTTAACCCCAGGACTAAAATAAGGTGACCTTTCAGCTTCATGCTCATGTGTCTGTGTGTAAGCAGTCCATGGTATAAACTGGATAGGCCAGGTAGGCCTCAAAATGAGTCGTGGCTAAAAACTCCCTGCCTCTGTTACAAATCAAATTCTATTCACCTAGCTGAAATCCTGATACTTTACTGATTGAGCCAACACAAAATGTTTCAGATTACTCTTTACAGGATATCTGGTTCATTTTCAGTTACGCCAGCTATTCACTATATTTTGATTTTTTGTGATTACAGGAAAAACCAGTGAGTAATGCTCACCGTTATTAAGTTTGTCCCAACGCTGCTTGGTAGCTGTCAGTTCACTTTTGACAACTTCCTTGTCTATGTCACAAGCTGCAACAAATGTGTCCCCAAGCATCCTATGATTCTCGTATTCACCCGAATGCTTCCATACTTCATTACGGAATGCTCCAAGTTCTTTCAGCTGCCGCTCAATATCCTTACGCTTAAAACTGGCAGGCTGCAAAGTCTCTAACTTATTTTCTGCTTGAATCAGCCATGGCAAGAAGCTCTCTTGTGCTCTGTAGTACTTGCGGCAATGTTCCTAGAAATTACATACAAATTTCTCTTATCAGCAATCACTGTATAAAGTGCAAAGATTCCATTTTAGCAATTAAAATAAAATATTTCAAATTATGCCCTTCTTATACATAACAGGTTAGGATGTGTACATATACCATAACAATTCTAGTATGGTAATTCTGGTGTGTTCACCAAAATTTGACCTCAGACCCTGGCAAATGACACCAGTGACATCAGAGTTGTCTTACAACAATGACTTCTGCATGGGCAGAGAGTCTACTGCCTTTCTGGCTGATTACTTCAAGTGGATGTGGAGCTAGCTGGGAATTCCCCAAGTGGAGATTCCACACCCAGTCATTTCTGTGCATGTGTTTATGTGAAGTACCTCATACTGTTAACCAATCTTAACCAAAACATGACTAAAGTCTCTTCAATGACTGAGCCATCCCTAGTTCAAATTTACAAAACAAAATTTAATTTTTATTAAATCTTATAACATTCTTCTCAGTTGAATACATGGAGAGAACACCACAATTACAGCACCAAAAGATGAACTGTCTTCTCACCATGCAGGTCTGAAGCCGAGTATGTCTGTCAACAGTGTCTTTGCGCAGTCTGTCCCATTGCTGTTGTATCTTGTCTATATCACGTTGAAGGTTACGTGTGTCACTGCCACCGCTGCTGTTACTGTTACGGTATGCTGACCGGGAAAGCATGTCACGACCCTTGTTGAGCAGCATTATCACTTCATGCTCCTTGCTCATTACATCTTTATAAACAGGCTAAAAAATAAATTCACAAAATCAACAAGACCTCCTGTAGAAATATATATTAAGGATATTCTACAACAACACTGTTTCAAATGCATAAGCTATGTAGAGTCAAAGGAGAAAATACTGATGGTTATTAACAGTGATTTGGGAAGACAGCAGAAAGAAATCATGACCTATTTTAAGGCACCATTTCAGCATTTGCCTGTTGAGACTGCAAGAAACCATGAAAAATATCAGTTCGTACAACAGGTTTTTCCTGAATATGAAGGACTCGAACTACTATACACAGGTTTTTCCTGAATATGAAGGACTCTAACTACTACACAACATCTGATCAAGAATAGTTTGAATAATTTGCTGCTGACCAAAGGGATGATATTATGCCAATTGGGTTAACCATTATTCTGTAAAAAAAAGTCTTTATTCACAAGAGAAAAATCAAAACAGCAAATTACTGAACATCGAAGCTTAGTGGTTTGCACTCCTGCTTCATATTTGGAAGTCCAGAGTTCAAATCATGGCCCAAAGAATGGCTATCCTGACAAGTTTTCTTTGTGGTTTCCCTCAGTCCCCCCAGAAAATCACACCACCACCTTAAATTTAGCCATAAATACTTCCTCCCATACTCTCTCTAATTCATCATTAATTTAATCATCCTATAATTTGACACTATATATTCTGAACTACTGACAGTGTCATTAAATAAACTGCATGTTAATAAACAAAACAACAAATTTATCTTCTAAAAAATCTTTCTTTTTCTTAAGTCTTAATTTCAATTTCGTAACACTCATGCAGGCCTTACATTTCTGTAACATGGTGTTCTTAAACAAATTCTAAAAGGAGTGGCTCCAATATGGTACGTGCATGAAGACATCAATATGAAAGCAACTTTATATTTTAATTAATACCTTCACTGTTAGCAAAAATATGTGTTACTAGGCTGTGCATTAGCCAGTAGTAATCTTACTGTTCCATCCACAATGCACATGTGGCGGAACAGTTACAATCATATCAGTGAAAGAGTTAGAAGGCAAAATAGGATACATTACCTCATGATGGTCCACTTGCTGCTGCAGCACATCCCTGTCAGCAGATACAAGGAGTCTCTCTGACATTCCACCAAGTTCATCTGTCAGCCAACCCAGAGTTCTGGCACAGGATGCTTCAAACTGACGACCATCCCTTAAAAGAAAAAGAAAAATATAAATATTTGGCAAGAAACAAGATACAGCTACAGTAATGATTGTATCTATAGAAATATTTCTACTATGAACTCTCAGCAGTCATTACATTTATTATAAACACAGCCTGTAACTGCAGAAATAGAAAAAGTGAAAATGAAAGGAAGTTGCATTCTTCTAAGATGACAGAGACTAACAAGTGCTGATCACATGAAATTAATCAATTGGAGTGGCTCTCATCTGGATGATGGTAACTCTGACAACACTAACAGTAAATCATTAGCTATTAGTTAAAAACTGTAGGTTGTTGAGGCAGCGTCAGGCTCTTTTTGTACCAACATTCTTCTACCTTAATCATAATTTGTGTAAGTTTCAAAATTATCTGTTTTGCGTATTTTGTGACTAAAATATAAAACTTAGAAGTTTGGATTTACTGCACCACGAAGCTGCAGGCAAAGGAAGAGAAATTTATATGACAACACATGGAACAATTCTGCAGCTAAGCTAACAGCATCACATTTCACTCTCAACATGAGCAAGTGTTCAAAGTGATAGCAGATGCATGTATTTTACCTACCCAGTCACAAAAAAGAAAAGTAATATAAGTCTGGATCCTTTTAAATTTTAAAATGTAGCAAATAAGACTCAGTAATTCAAAATTTTTGAAATAGTAAAAGAGACACCCTGCTTCCATTCACATTGTTGAAATATTCCAAAAGCTCTCAGAGAGCATGCAGATTTCCATTTAACCATCTTATTCCTACTTAACCATTTCAAACTCCATGGAGCGAAGCCATTCTTAAGAAGACAATAACTGCTCAGCTAGTCAAGAAATTCCCCAGCTTTTATGGAACTCAAAGATTCATTACTGTTTTCATAACAGTCCACAAAATTCATAGTTCTACCATATAATATTGTTTTAGTATGTGTGTATTAACATGTACATGGGCTTCATAGGGGTCCGTAGTGGCCGCACAGTCTGAGGCATGGGCCTTGTGCCGCTTGGTCGCTGGGACCGTGGGTTCAAATCCCACTCAAGCCATGGATGTTTGTCTGTGTTTTTCTGTGTTGTGTTGTCCTGTGTACAGGTAGAGGCCTTGCGACGGGCCAATCCCTCGTCCAAAATGTCTATAGATCAAGCCAACGAAAAGTTGGGACCCGCAGTGCTCAGGCACTTGAAGAATGGGTTGTTCCCAATATCTCCAGTATGGGCTTCATAGTAGCAGCAAAACATCGGCTCAACATTAACTGTTGCATCCAGTGCCAAGAGAATATAGGTAAATTTTAATAATTGTGATAATATAACCATCTTTAACTGCAGCATTTGAATTTGGTTACCTCAGAAATCCTTCCATCTCTGCTTTACGGTGATCAAGCTTCTTCTGGAGAGTGTTGTACTGTTTGCCTACGGCTGCCAACTTGGCTTGAATTTCTGCGCGGGAGGCCGCATCACTCAGCACTTCACACAACTGTGCTCCTGCTGCTTCAGCATCAGCTAGCAGAGGACGCTGACCTTCTAGTTGACGTTCCAAATTCTATAGAATGATAGGATTTATTTTACTACTGGTGGTTACATCACTACCCACCTACATATACAAACTTACTCTAACAATCGGGACAAAAACTCCTGGTTTCTGCTGTGCCAAAAAATCTGTCCAATAATGAAATTGTGTGTAAAATCACAACAAATTATCTGTTAAGCACATAATACTCTATTTTACTGGAAGATGGTTCCAATTTTCTGAACAAATATACTGCCTCCATCTTCAGGGTCAAGTGCATCATTCCAATGCATCAGTATATTCTTCAAGCAACACAGTGTTACAACTCAGAATACTACACTGTGTAAACATTGCCATGTAAATCTAAATTCTTAGCTGCTGATTCTCTGGTTACTTAATACATTCACAATTGTCCTTTAAAACTACAGGCCATTCCCCTGAATCAAAAACTCATGGATAAGCCATGTCATGCTGAAAATGAGATCAAACACTCACTTCTAACTTCCTCAGCTGTTCTTCTGGATCCTTGTCCAGTGGCAGATCATCCAGTTGGTCAGATATTCCTTGCAGTCCATCCTTCAGCCTATTCAGACCTGCGTCAAACTCTCGGCTTGTATCAGCAGCAGCTCCCAAGCTGTCTGCTCGTTCCTCCAGGCGACCCAGAAGGTCAGCCCAACGCTGCAATATGGATGTGAGGCGTCCAGACACACGCTGAGCATCAGGTGTGTCAGGATCTAGACGAGCAAGAACAGATTCACCTACTTCTGAGAGATGTGACAACTGTGGCTGTTGGGTACGGAATTCCTCCCTCAATACTTGCACTTGCTGCACTTGGCTCTGCACCATGCGTGAATCTGATGAGATTGGACCCAGAACCATCATCATCCGGTCCTTAGCACTCAACCACCCACTCAAGTTATCATGAGTATCATGGAAATCTTTCATGTCTTCCATAAACTTGATTCTGCAAAAGGAGAAATAAAATGGAAAACACGTATTTTATAAATCCAACGTTTCCAAATAAAATGGAAAACACGTATTTTATAAACCCAACATTTCCAATTTTGCATACCACATGTACTTTGATGTTTATTTATTGCAAACACAAAGCAAATTTTATAAAACTCTTCACACTACATAAATGTCAGGGATTCTTGTCTTTGTATTCCACTGTAGTACACAAATTTTAAAGTCACTAAAACTAGCAGTATTTAAAGAGGAAAGAATTAAGAAATTTACTGTGTTAACAGTACCACATTTTACAGAAACTCTGAATGCCTGAAAAATATGTAATGTCTCTCATTAAAAATATACAAAAGTCACACTTTCCAAATACTAATACTAGCAAAACATACCTATCCTTGCATCGATCGTGAAGGTTCTTCCAACGTGAAACTACGTCTGTTAGCTCATCTTGCAATGTGTCAGCACCTAGAGCCCCTGGTTTTCGGCGCAACAAGTCATTCACTTGGCTCTTGGTGCTGTCCAGTAGGGACTGTTTCTCATACATATCCTCCACTATGCTCTTCATCTGCTTGGCCGTCTTATCAGCATCTTCTTTAGTGTGTGGAACAGTCTCCTTTGGGAGATTCCGTTGAACTTTGTCTAAGAACTGACCAAGACTTCGCAGGTTATCTAAATGTTTCTTCACCTCTTCACGAATGCTGTCAACCTCTGCTTGGCGATCTGAGAGACGCACTCCCAGCAGACCGTAACGGTTGTTGATTTCTGTTAACTGCTGTTGTACTGGAGACAGTTCTGTAAATGTCAAGAATTGCAATGTCTTACAGCTCTTAAGGAGAAAATATGGGAATCTCGGCCCTGAAGATGGAGACAATAAGTAGTCTCTCTGGAATGTTCTTATCCATATCCAACAAGTCCATATAGACAATAAGTAGTCTCTCTGGAATGTTGTTATCTACCTACAAGTCCATACGGCATCACAATCAGAATCATAAAAATCATCTTTCACATTAATACACCACAGAATAACCTGATTAAAAGTTGTGCAATAATATGCAATGTAATAGTACATGGACCCAGATAAAACACAGAGGACATTTTATGATTACTGCATATATTGCTAGCACAGTTGCAAGGATTCTCCTTATAATTTAAGAACTATAGTAAGAAGCTTTCAAAACAGTTTAACAGCAAATTAAAAGTCATGCAATTAATAAATGTAATACAGAAACTATGCAAGATATTAGTTACAATGTGATGAAATAAAAATTACCTTCAAGATGGAAACCATCCTGAGAGGAACGGCGACTGCTAAATCCACTAGAGCCACCTGGAGAGACTGGACTCTGGACAGAGAAACCACCACTACTTGATTTAGTTGGTGAGGGAGACCTTACCTCTTGAGATGTTCTACGCACTGTAAACAAAGGAGAAAAACATTTCTTCTGGAATGTCTTATCATCAATTTAAATTAACATTCAATATCACACAAAAATCAATCTGATTCATGAAAAAGTATAAAACAGGGGGGTTAGCCACAAGATACATCAGCACTCTTTTGACAACCATTGCTACAAATGGTATGTCCTGTGTACACCCTAACTGAGTCTCTTAAAAGTATGGTAACACTCAGTTTGTAGAATTTAAACATGCTGATTAAATCCGAGGAAATGGTTACGCTCAGAAACAAACTTACATGGACTGGCTGTAGCAGAAGTTCTCTTTGTGGGGCTGTAGGCTGAGCTACGCCTGCGTGGTGGACTTTCTGGCCTCTCACCTCTCAGAAGTCCATCATACATATTGCCGAGATCATTCACTTTGTCAATGGTATTACCATAATCCCTGTATTCCTTCATCAGTGGCTGCAATTCAGCAATGGATGGAACAATTATATAAACAACCAAGCCAATTTGTCCTCACAAGCTCAAAATCTCATTTCACTGACAAAAAAGAACAAAATGAGAACAGATATTTTGGATAATAATTCCCAGAAAATCTAAAAGAATGGGGTATGTGTAATCATGGACTTATACCTTCAATTGTTCAGTTTGTCGCTTGAGTGTTTCAATTTCAATAGCTACAGGTTCAAGTCGCAACACTCGAGTTTCCATGGTTGCCAGCCACTCTAGAACCTGGTCACGCAACTTCTCATAGGCACCTAATTGTTCAGCCCGGGCTTTACTTAACTTCTGTTTATCTTCCAGAAGAGAATTAAGATCCTTCCACTGGCCTTCCAAAGCCTGAAAAAAGTAGCAAAAATAAATCAACACTAAACATTAAATCTTCCTCAAACTTTTCTTAAAATACTCATAGACTTAAGTAGTCCTGTTAACTAATGATGCTTTCTAAAAAAAAAGTCTCAGCACAACAAAGCAAAAATAAGACAGAAAGAGATTAAAGAACAAAAGAAACAAAGGAAGTATCATGTCAGAAATCTTGAATGATTTTTTTGGAGATACCTTTATTTTATCCCTGACTGGAACCGTGTCTGTCACATCTTTCTTGGCAACCAGGTTCTTTCCACTGTGAACAACATCATCAAACTCCCCTTGCTTAGCATCACGTTTAGCAACAATTTCATCTATTTTAACTGCATACGCAGCAATTTCCAGTTTTAAGATATCTCGAGACTCAATGGCATCGAGAAGTTCACAGTACCACAACTCAAACTGAACAGTGGCATTTGAGAACACAATGAGCGCAGAGTGCACTTCTTCCAGCAGTTCACTGCGCTTCACTGTTCTGTCCAGTAACTTGTCAAACCTACAAGAAATGCAAATGTCAAGAGCAATGAGCAAATTCCTACCCTTAATACTGAAACAATCAAATTATTCCTACCTGAAAACAGCTTGGGATTACATTTGTATTAATACTGACTTAAACCCATATTTCAGACAAACCACATACAATGGGATGAAATGTATTATTCCATTACATTAAATATAATTTCACCTTGTCATGTACTGTAATTCATAATTATTCTTTCTGTGAGAAACAATCCTCAAAAACAGTAAAGCACATACCTTCAGCAAGATTAAAGCACAAAAATTTCTATACCAGATGCACTAATAGTCTGAAAAACATTCACATTCATGTCTTGTATCAAAAACATCCCTATGTCCTTACTCTTGGTCATTTTATTCTACACAACCCAAATGTACATTGACACCCTCCCACATTCTTCCCACACATAATTCAGATGTAAACAGGAAATGTACATGTGAAAACTTAAAACATGTAATGTACAGAGTAAAACTTCCTGATGTAACGCTTGAGCAAAGCATGTGACATTTAAACATAACATCCTAAGAACCTAAATTAATTACCTGGTAGTGACATCACGTAGCTTTGTCTCAATCTTCTTGGCAAGACGTGCATTACTAGCAGTGGCAACCAGTTCTTGTGCTGACTGTGCTACACTCTCTACACTTGGGCGATGGTTGTCCACATCTGACTGCAACAAGCGGTGCTCCCGAAGCTGTTCCTCCAAACGCTCTTTCTGTAGGCTAGCAGGCCGCATGAGTGATCTACACAACATGACAACCATTGTACTTTCACCTAATGTGCCATCATCTGTCTCCACTTAATTTAATCCAGAAGGTACTATGGACTAGTAATCCGGAGCTACCTGGTTCAAATCCCAGCCAGATTACCAGATATTCTGACTGAAGACTTTTTTTGGTATTCCTGAGCTGCTTCATATAAATTCCATAAGTGCCTTCAACTAGGCACAACCATCACCTTCCAAATCCTTCATTACTCACCATTCATAAACTTTCCATATAAATGACACCACATACATTGTATATTTAAAACAGTACTGCTAGATTGCCAATCAATCAATCAATCAAATGGACAGGGGAACATAAACAATAACGTATGATTTGAGGTTTTCATGGCAGTGCATCCAAAGATGGCTGTCTTCTGCATTGTAGCACCATGTAGTCTGGTGGTACTCATCACCCTGATGATGGGGGCAGCACACACCTCTAAAACATTTGTGAACTTACCAGACTACAAGGTGCTACAACCCAAATACAGCCATCTATGAACAATTTATGTAATAACCCTCTTATTACACAATAAGTCTGCAGCATGAAGTAGGAATGTCTATGAGAAAATAAAGTAGTACCTACATTTAATGCATCTCAAGTGAAGAATTCATAGACCAGACTTACTTGAGTTGGTTTTCTGTGGCATTAAGCCATTGCATCAGTCCATCCAGAGCATCCTGTACACCTTGACTCTGAACAAGTGCAGTGTCAAGAGCACGGCATTTATCAGCCAGTGCATCAGACAACTGGTTGTACTTGGCTTCCAACTCCACAACAGGTGACTCTAAAGCAGCCATCTCTCCAGGAGTCTGCTGACCTTCCAGAGATCTCAACAGTGCTGCCACACTCTGTACAAAGAGAGCAAATTAAGAATGGACAGATGTTCTTAACTCCCACATACCAGAATTTAAAAAAAATGGAAAGTTACTCCATGGTAGTCACCCACTAAATCCAAGCTCAACACATTCATTCTATTTAATATTTAATGAAACAGCATTACTGAAATAAGCTACCAGCCTGACCTTCTCCAGATTCTTGTTGCTGAAGATAAAAAATTAATGGGATTACTGGAAGAAAATTACTATGTTGGAAGACACGTATGGTGCTTCTCAGCAAAGTCCAGCTAAGTTTTTTGTTATTAGTCAGCGTTTCCATTTACTTTATTATCACAAGCAATCAATATTAAAGGAACACAAGATAATAAATTCTGACAGTGTTTCCAGTTCATGCAAACATTAATTTAGTTACTGATTATTGATGCTACTCCAATATACAGACTATAACTTTCACTTGCTTTATTTATGAACTCCATTATCTGTAAATTTTCTTTAAAAACAAGGACAATTTCTCCCATTTTGAGCTACAAATACTGAATGTTGAAGATTATCCAAGCACAACTACAAGTAAAATATCGTACAAGAAATTAACAAATTCACGCTAAAAATCAATTCAATTTCTTAAGCATTGATGTCTAGAATTAGGAACAAGAGAAAGCTGACTTACCTGCTTTGCTGCATCTACAAGCCTTCCTTGGGCCACAAATTCATTGTTTAATGTCTTGGCTTTGTTCAGTTGCTCCTCCACAGTCTTGGGTTCAGCTCCAATGGGCTCTGAGAGAACTTTATTAGCTCTTGGTTCAGCTTCACGCAACCATGAACGAGCCTTGTCCAGGGCATCACGGTACTCTCGTTGGCGCCCGCCCACACCAGATAACCGGTCTGACAATCCATTGGCACGAAACAGCAAATCACGATATTGTGCTGTGACTGCTGACACTTCATTTCGTACAACAGAGTCCTGTGAAGGCTGAATGTGAGGTAACCGCTGCGGTAGGCTTGTTCGGAATTCATTCAATGACGTAAGATATTCCTGTAACAGAAACAAATGTAAGCTGCGCAAGCTATCTGCTGAAGGTACATGTTGCATCCATAGGATTTCTGTTGAACTATGTAGTCTTGCTCTCAAGTGCTCCATAATAAAGTCTTCACAAAAGAAAAGGGTATACCTGTTCTACTGCTTGCATATTCATTCCCACTGATCTTGTGAAACTGTAAAATGTATAATTGTTTCTGTATTTCTATCAATTACCAAAGGTTAACCTCCCAACTACTGGAGATGCTATCAACATACCTTAGATTCATCAACAAACTTCTGTGCTGCCATAGTGATGAAGCGCAAGTCAGCCTGGTGAGCAATAACATCACTTACAAACTCCCTAGTGCTGTCTGCATTGGTGTTCAGTTTATTCAAGTTGGAAAGAGACTTCTCCTTATCCTCCAAAGTTCGGCGGGCCTTATCAAGCCATGCACGGAATGTAGAAAGTTCATTTCTGGAAGAAGCATGATGATCCATTAGTGTCTAAATATTCATTCAGAAATTTTGTATATGTTCACATGCAGGTTTCACAGTAATTTGAAATGCCACAAAATCAAGTTGCTAAACACACCTAAATTTGCTGAGCTCATCATAGGCGGCAGTAAGACGTTTGAGTAACCTGTCTGTCCTGTCCACAGCACGATCATAACGGGTCTTGAGTGAGTGGCCGTTCTTCTCAAGGGTGGACACTTCATCACTAGACAGAACATCACCACCTGATGCAACCACCTGCCGTATCTGGTCCAGGCATGATGACACTGGTCTCAAGTGGGAGTCCAAGTCATCCTTCACTTGCTGAACCAATAAGGACAATAAAAGGAATAAAATCTATGCCCTCCAAAGTAATAATCATGTGTCCATTAAATAGCCAAGTTGAAAGCACAGAAAACTGAGATAAAACAGGTTAAAAACATGAGAAAATTCCTAAAGAGTATTAAGAAACAAGCAAAAGAAATTCAAAACTAGACCATCAGGTAATATCTTAAAATAAAAGACAAAAAAAAAAACTTAGTCAAATTAAGGATATACAATATGGACATCCACTCTGTATGGGTAACAATTAAAAAAAAATGAAGATGGTGACTTGGAATTAAGAAAGACTTTTCCGAAGTCACATGTTTGGAGCACAGCGCTATATGGAAGCGAAATAATGGTCAGTGCGAAAGCCAGAGAGAACGACAGAAGCATTTGAAATGTGGTGCTATAGAAGGATGCTGAAAATTAAGTGGACTGATAAAGTACAAAATAAGCTGGTCTTAGACAGGATAGGCGAAGGACGAAGTCTATGGAAAAATCTTACAAGAAGAGATAGGATGGTGGGGCAAATTCTGAGGCACCCAGGATTGGTTAATTTGGTAATGGAAGGAACAGTTGAAGGGAAGGAGTTGAGCCATGCCTCATGGCTCGGAGTGGCTTATCTCCCCTCTCAAAGTTCTTTGGAGTCGGCGGCATCGAGACCCTGATGAGACAGCAGGGCAGAAGGACAGTCTGTGTGTGTCCGCCGGAGAGAGCACGACTCGAGTGCTATCGGCTGGAGCTACCCTGAGCAACCATCTCTCGTGGACACAAGATGTCCACTGGCGCCCAACAAATAACCAAGAAATGAAGAACTGACTCAGAAATTTGAACAGGAGAGTACTAAATTATACAGGGCGGTAGAACAAGTAAAATCCGACTAAAACAAGGAATTAGCGGGTATGAAATGCCAGTTTAACATCCTATCAAAGCAGGTGGAAGGGAAAGTTGACCGGATAGTTGATGATACCAAGGGAGTTATCAGAGATATGGTCGGAGACGTGGACCACAAATTAGATGAAATGGTGTGTCAAATTGTAGCCAATAAGGAAAGCTCTGATGAGAGGATGAATGCCATAGAAAATAACATTACTGAAGTAAGAACTAGTTTAAGGAATGAGGTGACATCTTGGCAGAGTGAAGCAAAGCGTCAAGTCAGTCATGAAATAAAGTCAATCAAAATCAAGTCGGGAAAAGTTTGAACGCATGACTGTTGAATTAAATGATTTAAAAGGGAGGTTATCAGAAAGTCCATCAGTAAATTGTGAGGCCAGGTCATTACAATCCACTGATGGAAGCCAAGTTTTGAGTCTGTCAGCTTGTGACCGTGCCAAGAATAACGGTAATAATGATGTAATTGATGGAGTAGCTGGTGGCGATGGAAATGGACTGAGTTGCGACCACCCAGCGCCATGTAATAGCTATGTTTCTCGTGGATCGACTGTAAACGTACCGCCATCTCAAGTTTATAATCTATGTCAGTTTATAGCTCCGTCGGACTTAACCCTTCCTCACTTTCATGACAGTGAAAAGGTTAATCCGATTGCCCACCTGAGACAATTGGATGATTATTTCCGCTTAAAGGCTGTACCACCCCCATTCCACCTTGCAATTGCATTGCGCTCTGTTACTGATCCTTTAGCTGTGGAGTGGATAGCGACTGTATCCCCGACCATAAGCAATTATGAGCAGTTCATATTAGCCTTTCGAAGGAATTTTTGGTCAGCTAGCAAGCAAAGCATAGCCAAATGTTCGATCTATCAGGACAGATACTCTAAACAATCTGGTTTGAAAATGTCGGATCATTTCCTGAAATACGCAGTACTTGCTGGTTATTTACAACCTCGATTAAATGACATCGATTTAAGTACCGTAGAGTAAGGTATGGACATGTAATAGATATAATATTTAGTTTAAGTATTGGAGAGTGTTATAGATATGATGTTTAGATACAGTGCTGTAGAGTATTGAATGAATATGTCATAACTGTATGAAAATGCCTTTGGCATTGTTGTGTCGGTCCTCGAGGCGAGATGTTGTAATCAAGGAAAATATAAGCATCCTGTATATGTGGATTGGCTGACTGGGGATGAACTCATTGGAGTGGAAATGAATCCGCTTGTCCTTGCTGAGAAAATTCCAGCCTCACTTAAAGAGAAGAGGTTTGGTGTAATATGAAGTGACAAAAGGGATGGAGATAAAACCAAGTGCAGTATTCGTAATGTCTTGGAGATGCAAACATTTGAAACCTGTGATGTATGTGTTGAGAAAAGAAGAAAACCAAACAGACATCTATTCTATCGTTCTTAAAGAAGTATTTTTTTTTTTTTTACAAATTTCAATACGTAAATTTCATAAAATAAAACATTTTTCAAGAATTTTGTGTTGATTACTGAAAATCTTGGAACGGAACCGAATGTATTTACATATGTTCCCATTATATTTTTGCTTCATTTTACGCCGGAAATCTCAGGAACCTAACCCCGGCGTAAACCGAGTCCTACCTGTATATATATTCCACTCAACCGCGAAAAGTAGGTTCTTCAGTCTGACGGTGTTTCCAGCAGAGAGGAAGCCACTGCCAGACTTACAGGCCTGCTCTGCCGCTGTTACAAGAGAGTGGTCCGTGACATACTGCAGATAGAATGTCTTTTGTTTTGCTTGAGGTTATCTATAAGATGCGGATGGGAGCGTCTGCACGTTCTGAGGCAAGCACATTCAAGTATTCCGTGCAAAACTGCCATCTGTAGACGCGTTGTGGCTTCTATGCGGTGTGTCTGATCAAGTTCATTCGAACTTTCCGGAATCCAATGTCAGTGTAAACTACTTCTGTAGTTTTGCTGCAACAGTGTCGCATGCCATAGCTGTAATATGGCCATGCCTCATGGCTCGGAGTGGCTTATCTCCCCTCTCAAAGTTCTTTGGAGTCGGCGGCATCGAGACCCTGATGAGACAGCAGGGCAGAAGGACAGTCTGTGTGTGTCCGCCGGAGAGAGCACGACTCGAGGAGAAAGTCGGAAGGCAAGTCAGGGTTTGTGGGGGTTGAGTTGGGTATCTGGAGTCGGATACCCGGCCGGAGTTTGAGCCCTGAAAGGTGTCTTGTTCCTTTTATCTTATATTTAAATATTTCTTATTAAATAATATACTTCGATTATTCGAAGTAGATTCATTTGGTTTTCTTTTATTACTTTTCACCGCTTTACCCTCCCCAAGCCGTACCACCTCCCGGCCTGGGATGATAGTGGCCTCAGTAACGTAATCTGGCAATCTTCTCCTCCTCGGGGGGGTTCAGAGTGTACGGGGAGACAAAGATTGAAATATGTGACACTGATTTTTGAGGATGTGGGCTGAAAAAAATATGTGGAAATGAAGAGATTGGCACAAGATAGGCAAAAATGGAGGACAGCATCAAACCAGTCGAAAGACTCGTGACAAACAATCAAAAAGTGAATAAAAGAATGCTGGTGAGACCGACTGAATGAAGATATAAAGAATAGAGTTGACACAATTTTAATAATAGTACTTAAATGATTTCAAATGTATTTCCCATAAGCTACTATGTGATAAGTCCCATGAACATATCTGATCCTGGCTCAGCTCATAGATACCTGTAAGATGGTCCAAAAATGATGATACCAACAATGATGGTGATGATAAAGCAGTTTTTAAAAGGTAAATTAATTTGTGCTTTGTTGAGTAAAACTAAGCATAATTTTAGGACCAGACATATTATTATTAGCAGTACGATTATCACCATCATTACTTAACTCTTCCTACTACGCTTTTTATTCAGATGGTAACTATCTCAGCGATTAACAGTAAAGAAAAAAACAATCACCTTCATGATGTTGATCTGGTTATGGAGTTCTTCTGCATCTTCTTGGGCAACATCCTGGTTTGCCAACTTGTCTTCCACTTCTCGAATCCAGGTCAGAAGTTTTGACAATGTCTCATCACAATGCTTATACTTTTCTTCCACTGCTTGCTACATTTAACACAAAGGAATGGTTTTAGTCCCAATAATCAATTCCCAAATGTATTCAAATCACAAGAAAATAGGATAGAAACAAATATTTTAAAATTATTTTATTGCATTCAGTCTATTAATGTTTTATTTGTGAAACAATTCCTCTGCATCGCTGTATATTTGAGATTCCAGAACTTAAAATAAACGTCCAAATGTTTTGTATTGAATTAGCTTTTAAAACATTAAAATATAATCCATGATAAAATGTTGAACCTTTATGCCAAGATACAGTATGAACTCTAAATGCCAAGGCACAGAAAAGATGCAAACTAATTCTTGCTGCTAAATATTCAGCAGGTCTAGAAAGTAACATCTAATTAATGTGTCTAGCACTGAACCTCAGAGATACTACCAGCAAGCTAATTATAGTAGTAATCTTTTCCTCTTAACCCCCTGTGTTGCAATTTAGACAGTTTACTGCTGTACCTGGAATGGTCATTTACATTTTCTGTGTGACTGTACAGCAGCCAAAAAATAATAACACCAAATACATTAAAATGAATGAGAAAGAAAATACTGAAAACAGCATTATTATATATTCAACTATTTCACAACCAATATGTGATCGTGATGAAAGTTCAAGGAATAAGATTCTTGTGCCATCTGCTGATGACAAGTTAAATTACTAAATCTAGGTTACTTGAAGTGACCATAAGTATAAATTGATGCTGATGTTCCAACACAAGGGGTTAAATACAAGAGATGGTCAACAAATAATGCCAATCATTCACTTCATTTTGTTTCATATGCAATTTTTAAAACTCATCAAATTAAAAGAAAGTTTGTCTTAAGCATCTTTTATCATTTATAAACAATGATTTAAAAATGAGTTAAAATAACAAAATCACTCACCGATAAATTCAACTTCATAACTGTGCTTAATGGACACCAAAACATGGGCTTTAGTATAAATTTTCAGCCCCCCGTTTTAAAAAACTGTCTATTTCTGTCCTATTATAATAATTAATAAATCACCATGGTCTGACCAACAAGACTAAACCTCTATAATAGATGGCACTACCTCCACCTGCATGCAGCGTGATGCATCTCAAAGCAGCGAGATTTAGATTTGATGGTCAGTTCAAACTGGACTCCCTTCCATCAACATAATGCAAAGTGAAAGTGACATTTTCATAACCACATTACTGAGCTAGAAATATGTGAACATACCTGCCACAAACCTGTTTTCATGCAAAGAACATTCAATAATTAATGCTGCTCAAAGATAAACACATCAATATTTCTACCTATACATAAAGTTCACATACTACAACACACATCATTCACACCAGTAGTCATTCATAACCTTGTTTAGATAAAACACCATTTTGTGCCAGAAGGCATGTTTAGCGATACATTATGTTAAGATTAATTAATCATTAGAAACAAAGTCACAACTGAAAATCAATTTAAAACCTGAAAAAGAAAGAAAAAGTAAAAATCATGAGTAACATTGAATGAAACAATTTGAATTACAGTTATTCACAGATACCGTTCTAGGCTATTCCCTGAATGGTGACACAAACAAAGAACAGCAGAACCTAAGTAATCTCTGAACATTTGCCACAGCGCACACTTCAAATATTTAACGTTACTTTTTATGAGTTAATGAAGTCTTACTGTATAGGTTAGCATGAGGTTTAACAAGAAAATTAGCATTGCTGAGCAGATCTAGTCACAGCTTGGATTCAAGGTTAGTTTCCACACTATCTTCATGCTTTTATATGCGGAAGCAAGCACATTTTCCACTTTGCATGTGTATCTTTGCCCCCAAAAATATTGTAGCCTCTTTACATGTATTTTTGCTTCTGACATCCAGTCGCCCAAATACTGTGTAATACTTTTCAATGTATTACTCTGAAACTTTGCCACAAAACACCTGGAACTAAAAAACTGAAAGAGATTTGATCAGATTAAAAATGTCCAGTTTTAGACTGAATATATATCCATAAGCAAAAGTGGCTAATGTCTGTTTCCAAAATGTCATCTGCATCTGATATTAAATGGGCACAACCATCATGCACATCACCACCTTGGTGAGAACACACACTGAAATTAATTAAGCAATGGAAGCAGAACAAATACGCAGATTTGCAAAACTGACATATGCCACTTATATCCTCAGCATTATACTGTCAGATACAAAAACATGTATGGTTTTGTTATCTGATTCTAGTATTGCAATACAAATTACCCATTCATTTACCATGCATCATTAAGCTGTCTTTAATAAAAGCAATTTTCATGAAAGACAAATGCAAGAAAGACTGTGATTCCAAAACCTAATAACATCACAAATATGACAAAAGAAGTTTTTTTGTTAATATATATGTGTAAAAATGGTTAATACAAAGGAATTGCTCATAATGGGAACTTGCTTCTGTGCTTCCTGCCCCAACACATAAAACACCATGCAGACGGCAATTCTAAACAAAGACTAAAGCCCTTCACATGTGACAAAGCAAATTTTTACACATTTTAAGTAGAATAATCATAAACTCAAGACATGAAGTTATTTGATGTCAATCAAGAATGTCTGCTTTCTAAATCAAAACTAATCCTTATGCAATGCAACATAAATTCAACAATTAACTGTTCTATCAGAAAAAATAAGAAGTATCCAAACAGTTATTGCTTCTAAAGATTCTTGAATTATATTTTAAATTAGCAGTTCCATATTCTGTACTGTGATGTTAATTAAAGATCTCTTTATATAAGTGTTTGAAAGATAAGTCACTGCACACAAGCTATAGCAGCCTCAAGCACAGTTCTTGAAACAGCAACTCCCCTAACGTGCAATAAAGCCAGTATTTGTGCTTTTATATTCACACATTAATGCAATATCACGAGGGGTAAAAATCACAAACTAGCACAAGAAACATTAATTGAACTAAGAATTCTTAACATTGTAACAAACCGAGCAAATGAAACTGAAGACCTTGGCAGCTCTAAAGGAATGAAAGACTTAAATGTTCTACTTCAGCAGTATTAAAGTCTACTGCTTTCAATCATAGTATCATCAAATTAGAGAACTCTACAGTCTAAATTACTTTGCACAATATAACATCTTATATGAATGTGTACTATATCTCCCAACTTCTAAGCACTTGGTTTTGTGTTTGTAATTCCACGATATTGCTATAAGACTTTTTGAGTTCATTCTCTATGCTGGAAAAATGTAAAAATATGCAAGGCAACAAGAATAAGCACTTACTTGATAGAGTAAAGCCCCACAAAGACAGTATCAGAAGCAAAACACCATATATTTGTATTTAAACAATGAATAGTCAACTATCTATTTCTCATTATGAATCTCAATGTACAAAGTATCAGGTACTCTTCTATCACCTCCTTCTCACCTTAAAAAGTTATTAAAAAGAAGACTATGCAAGCAATATAATAAAACTATAAAGCTGACCTGACAACAAAATAAACTATCCAATTGCTTCTTATAGTGGGAACCTTAAAATAATACAGCATATACTTCAATAACACATATATGCCACAACATTCTATAACATGATAATGGCAGTGTAAATGGACTCTCCACAAATTTTTTAATTGTAAGCCTGTATTCAAATATTAAACCAATTATTAATTTCAAGGGCATGTTCAACACACAATGGTAAATGACCCTACAGCTTAATAAATACTGACGTAAATAAAAGAAATGTTAGAAGTGCCAAGGCCTTTAAATTTATTTTAATAACAGACTTCAAAATGTCAGCCAGTGAAATATCATTTAGCTCAAACTAATGTCTCTTTAAATAATACTGAACCGAAGACTACAAAATAATCTATATGAATGAGAAAAACACCAGCAGCGTACTTACTCGTGCTTCTGCAGTGAGAATGTATCCCTTGTCATATGCTTTTAGCAGGTCAATGCTTTTTCCTGTTGAAGTTTCCATCATCCGCCCAGCTGCAGCATCCACTATCTTGCTGATCGAAATGGCATCTGTTAAGGATGATATGTTCCCACTGTCAGCATCCTTCACGACTGTTGTTGATGGATCAATTAAGCCAGATTCAATAGCTTCCTCAAGCCTCAACCTGCGCCTGTCAATAACTCCAGAAGAAAAGAATGGATCTGTAAATCCACCAGTTGTTGGGTTATACAGACCGAACTGCAGACCTTCAATAAGTGACAGTCCTCGGCGTGGTGTTGTTAGAAGACCTGATTCAATTGCAGCTGACAGGGAATACAAACGTGATGTTGCAGAATCTAGAACATTACCTTTCTCAGCATCCATGAGACCTTTACGGAAGGCTTCAGGCAGTTTGACAAGTTTCTTCTTTGTGCTATCTTTAATCAGTGCTGAGTCAGGATCAATGAGTCCAAGAGACACTGTTTCTTTCAATGTGAGGACTTCTTTTGATTGTGGATCAATGAATTTTCCAGTCACTACATTTAGGTGTCCTTGTTCAACAGCAGCGTCAAATGTAAGTGGTTCACGAAGGAATACAACAGTACCTTGATCAAAAATAATGCATAATGGCTTCACCTTCCCAGTGTGAGGATCAAATGCTGCCCTCTTGTTCATATCAATCACCCCATCTGTTATTGCTTTCTTGAGTGTGCGGAAACGTCCTGTCTGTGGATCCTTCACAACTGCAGATTCAGGATCAATCAGTTCATACCTTATCGCCTCCTCTAACGTGCATTCCCTCATAGTTCGTGGGTCTTTGAATGTACAACGCTGGAAATCAATTGAACCACGTCGCACAGCTTGTTGGAATGTTATGGGTTTTTCAACAGTGATTAACAGTCCTCTCTCCAAGGCTGCATCAATGGTATATGCTCGCTTTGTCTTAGGATCAGCAACACAACCACGAGGAACATCAATTGATCCATCCTCAATGCCAGAATTAACACTCTTTAGTTGTCCAGTGGTTGGGTCTTTGAGTGCTGTAGTATTTGCATCTATCAAGCCATGAACCAAAGCTTGGGCAATGTC